CACCCAAAGCAATTCCAGTTCCAGTTTTCCAATGGTGCGATCCTTTTAAAACTATCCGAATCTGCAGCGAAAAAGCGGGATTTTTTGCTATCCATGGCCATACCCATCCGATATTGCTTGATATGCCAAACGGTTTGCTGCTGAGTTCCATGAATCGCTGGAAACCAAAAACGAATCTTGAGGCTTTGTGAAGAAACAGGTTACCCCGAAATCCACCGGATCAGCATCATCATCAGCATATATATACCAGGCAGTTACTTCTGCCCTCTAATGGAAGCCACTTAGACCCAAAGTGCCAAACGGTCACTTACAAGATCAATCATGCATAAGTGACCTCGTTTCATGAATCCTTAAGTGACCTCTTTGCTTGGCTGATCTCATGATTTCTGCGTGTCACTGCGTGTCACTTGCGTGTCACTGGGGTTTCGAGGTGGGATGAAAGAGGTCACTTAGGACCCTGAAAAGGTCACTTAAGCCTTGAAAAGGTCACTTAAGGATTGGCTGTCTGCGTGTCACCTGCGTGTCACTTGCGTGTCACTGGTAGGCCACTGCTTGGTTCGTTTCCTTAAGTGACCTCTTTCTACGTTTTCCTTAACTGACCTCTTTCTAAAGGCCACTTAGCAGAAAACACAAACAAGGTCACAAGGAATCGTCTGGTATATATATATGTCGTCTATATAGTTCAGGACATACACTTAGAACACCATTTGGAAAACGCATGGTGGAAACTTCGGCAGCGGAATGTGTTCTAAGTATACACTTAGAACACCTAAAAAAAACATACACTTAGAACATGTTCTAAAAGGTACTTAGAACACTTTGGGGTAATTTATGTGTTCTAAGTGTATGTCCGTAATTTCAATTATGTAAAGGATTGTTACAACCTTCGGCAGGGGGTCAATGGATACATAGATAATCAATATGATAATCCCAAAAATAAACCATCCCATTAAATAATCATTTGGGCCACATGTGGAGGTCATTTCACATCATCTCAAATAGAGCTATACCGAAAATTATCTAATTGGAAATATCTTTTTGGGGATGGTATACCCACATTCCCCAGCTGTATATATATATATTATATATATACATATGTATGTATACCAGGGTACCTTTGCAGATCCACACAAAGCAACTAGCAAAGGAAGATGGGATTGGAGTGAAAATTCAGCTGGAACCCCAAACCAAAGGGCGTTCAAACTCTCCGTTGGTGGCCAACAACAGCTAAATTCATCTCAAAAGTATATCTATATATAGATACATACATATATATATATATATGTGTGTGTGTTTAGATGGAAGTTAACACATTTTTGGGTGATCTTGGTGGCCTCCCTAGGTGGCCAACCACACACTTAGAACACTTCAAACATGTTAAATTTATTATGAAGTTGGTGACTGGTGTTAATGTTTGACACAGACTCACACACACACATGCTCTCTGTCCTTCGAGTGGCCAACAGCCAAAAAAAACATGTCACTAGTAATTGATTAATTATATTTTCAAAATGGACAATTAAACACATTTCTGGGTGATGTTGGTGGCCTCCCTACTAAGTGGCGAAACAAACACTTAAACACTCGCAAAAAAGGACAAATGCAATACTCAAGTTGGGGACAGTGTTTGATACACATGGTCTCCGTCCTTCGAGGGGCCAACAACAACTAAACCAATCTCAAAAAATATCCATTTCAAAAGGGAACTTAAACAAATTTCTGGGTGATGTTGGTGGCCTCCCTAGGTGGCGAACCGGACACTTAGAACACTTGTAATAAGGGAACATTGTACTCAAGTTGGTGACAGTGTTTGATATACATGCTCCCCGTCCTTCGAGTGGCCAACAACAAATAAACCCATGTCACAAGTAATTATCGATCTTAAAAGGGCACTTAATGCATCTTAAAGCACATGTCTGGGTGATGTTGGTGGCCTCCCTACTAAGTGGCGAAACAAACACTTAAAACACTTGCAAAAAAGGAAAAAATGCAATACTCAAGTTGGTGACAGTGTTTGATACACATGGTCTCCGTCCTTCGAGTAGCCAACAACAAATAAAAACCCATGCCACAAGTAATCATTAATTTGAAAACAAAACTAAAAAACAAAAACATTTCTGGGTGATGGTAGTGGCCTCCTTAGGTGGCGAACCACACACTTAGAACACTTGGAAAAAGGAAAATTTATACTCAAGTTGGTGACAGTGTTTGATACACATGCTCTCCGTCAGTCGAGTGGCCAACAACAAATAAACCGGTATGACACAAGTAACTATAAATTTAAAAAGGACGCTTTAACACATTTCTAGGTGATGGTGGTGGCCTCCCTAGGTGGCGAACCCCTCACTTAGAACACTTGCAAAAAGGGAAAAACAACAATATTCAAGTTGGTAGCACTGTTTGATACACATGCTTTCCGTCCTTCGAGTGGCCAACAACAAATAAACCCATGTCACAAGTACTTATCAATTTTCAAAGGGAACTTAAACAAATTTCTGGGTGATGTTGGTGGCCTCCCTAGGTGGCGAACGAGACACTTAGAACACTTGTAATAAGGGAACATTGTACTCAAGTTGGTGACAGTGTTTGATACACATGCTCTCCGTCCTTCGAGTTGCCAACAACAAATAAACCCATGTCACAAGTAATTATCTATCTTAAAAGTACACTTAATGCATCTTAAAGCACATGTCTGGGTGATGTTGGTGGCCTCCCTACTAAGTGGCGAAACAACACACTTAAAACACTTGCAAAAAAGGAAAAATGCAATACTCGAGTTGGTGACAGTGTTTGATACACATGGTCTCCGTCACGTCCTTCGAATGGCCAACAACAAATAAAACCCATGCCACAAGTAATCATTAATTTATAAACGAAACTAAAAAGCAAAAACATTTCTGGGTGATGGTAGTGGCCTTCCTAGGTGGCGAACCACACACTTAGAACACTTGGAAAAAGGGAAATTTATACTCAAGTTGGTGACAGTGTTTGATACACATGCTCTCCGTCAGTCGAGTGGCCAACAACAAATAAACCGGTATGACACAAGTAATTATAAATTTTAAAAGGACGCTTTAACACATTTCTAGGTGATGGTGGTGGCCTCCCTAGGTGGCCAACCACACACTTAGAACACTTCCAAAAACAGACATTTAATACTCTGGTTGGTGACTGGTCAGGATGTTTGACAGACCTGTTCTTCATCCCTCCAATGGTCAACAGCAACTAACCCCATCTCAAAAGTATTTGTTTTTAAAGGAACCAAATAATCACATTTCTGGGTGATGTTGGTGGCCTCCCTAGGTGGCGAACCACTCACTTAGAACACTTGCAAAAAGGGAAAAACAACAATATTCAAGTTGGTAGCACTGTTTGATACACATGCTCTCCGTCCTTCGAGTGGCCAACAACAAATAAACCCATGTCACAAGTACTTATCAATTTTCAAAGGAAACTTAAACACATTTCTGGGTGATGGTGGTGCCTTCCCTAGGCGGCGGACCACACACTTAGAACACTTGTAATAAGGGAACATTGTACTCAAGTTGGTGACAGTGTTTGATACACATGCTCTCCGTCCTTCGAGTTGCCAACAACAAATAAACCCATGTCACAAGTAATTATCTATCTTAAAAGTACACTTAATGCATCTTAAAGCACATGTCTGGGTGATGTTGGTGGCCTTTTTAGGTGGCGAACCAATCACTTAGAACACTTCCAGAAAGAGAAAATCAATGATTACTCTCGTTGGTGACCGGTCAGAATGTTTGACACACCGTTTCTTCATCCCTCGAGTAGTAAACAGCAACTAACAACATCTCACAAGTATGTTTTTTTAAAGAAAACTTATATAAGCACTGGGTGATGTTGGTGGCCTCCCTAGGTGGCGAACCACACACTTAGAACACTTGCAAAAAAGGAAAAATGCAATACTCAAGTTGGCGACAGTGTTTGATACACATTCTCCCCGTCCTTCGAGTGGCCAACAACAAATAAGAACCCATGCCACAAGCAATCATTAATTTTAAAACAACACTAAAAAACAAAAACATTTCTGGGTGATGGTAGTGGCCTTCCTAGGTGGCCTTCCTAGGTGGCGAACCACACACTTAGAACACTTGGAAAAAGGGAAATTTATACTCAAGTTGGTGACAGTGTTTGATACACATGCTCTCCGTCAGTCGAGTGGCCAACAACAAATAAACCGGTATGACACAAGTAATTATAAATTTAAAAAGGACGCTTTAACACATTTCTAGGTGATGGTGGCCTCCCTAGGTGGCCAACCACACACTTAGAATACTTCCAAAAACAGACATTTAATACTCTGGTTGGTGACTGGTCAGGATGTTTGACAGACCTGTTCTTCATCCCTCCAGTGGTCAACAGCAACTAACCCCATCTCAAAAGTATTTGTTTTTAAAAGAACCAAACAATCACATTTCTGGGTGATGTTGGTGGCCTCCCTAGGTGGCGGACCACACACTTAGAACACTTGCAAAAAGGAAACAAATTGAAAAGGAACACAATACTCAAGTTGGTGAAAGTGTTTGATACACATGCTCTCCGTCCTTCGAGTGGCCAACAACAAATAAACCCATGTCACAAATACTTATCTGCCCAGAAATGTGTTTAGGTTTCCTTTTAAATTGATAATTACTTAATGCATCTCGAAGGACGGAGAGCATGTGTATCAAACACTGTCACCAACTTGAGTATTGTGTTCCTTTTCAATTTGTTTCCTTTTTGCAAGTGTTCTAAGTGTGTGGTTGGCCACCTAGGGAGGCCACCACCATCACCTAGAAATGTGTTAAAGTGTCGTGTCCTTTTAAAATTGATAATTACTTGTGGCATGGGTTTATTTGTTGTTGGCCACTCGACTGACGGAGAGCATGTGTATCAAACACTGTCACCAACTTGAGTATTGTGTTCCTTTCAATTTGTGTCCTTTTTGCAAGTGTTCTAAGTGTGTGGTCCGCCACCTAGGGAAGGCACCAACATCACGTGATGGTGGTGGCCTCCTTGGTGGGGCTTCCTTAGGTGGCGGACCACACACTTAGAACACTTCCAATAAGAGAAAATCAATACCCAAATTGGTGAGAATGGTTGATACTTTTTTGTGCTACTAGTTATAGGTAGAACCAAACCTTTCAGGCAGCGGGTCGTGATCTTGGTGGCTTTTTAGTGCCTAATGAAAGTAGTGCCTAATTAAACGTCATGTCTTCTGAATAACATGTAAAAGACAATTGAAACATATTGTTATAGATATATAGTGTTTTGGGGTAGAATTTTATTATATTATATTATATCATATTAGATTATATCTTATTATATTATATATATATTACCCTATTTTATTTTATGTTATACTGCATTTTAATACAATATTGTATATATGCCTTACCAATTGTATTGTATGACTACTTTACATGGACGGACATACACTTAGAACACATGTTGGAAAAATAAGATGTGTTCTAACACGTTTCTGATGATGTTCTAAGTGGCTCACTTAGAACATGTTCTAAGCCTTCACTTAGAACAGTTGGGGTGAATTTCTCCGGCAGCAAAACGGTGTTCTAAGTGTATGATTTTTTTTTTGGAAAACACTTTGTGTTCTAAGTGTATGTCCTATAATTCATCTATAATCTATCATCTATCATCATCATCTATCATCATCATCATCATCATCAAAAAAATCGCAGTTCTTTTTTCCCCCCCGCCGAGGGGATCACCCTAATTGTGTCCAAAAATGGTGGATTTCGGTGGATTTTCACGGTGAATCCACCATCGATTTCTGCTTTGGCTGCTGCGGCACTGAGGCGGCACCCAAAAGCGTCTCGTCTCACCCGCTTTCATCAACTTTAAGCCTGCGGAAATCCATCACCTCTGACGACCTCTGGGCATTACATGATAGGTAGTTATGACCAACATAGCCATGGAAAGATCCACCAATTTTTAAGAACGGTAAACCAAGATAAACCATCTATTTCGATTGGGGCCATCTATACCATGGCGAACTGTTAAATAACCAGAGGGTACATGATATCGATCATGGACAATGCAGGTGAGGTCTCATGGAATTTTTATCGTACCTCTGGCGACCAGGAATCCCCATGGATTCGGAATGGTCGGAATGGCCCGGCCTGGCCCTTTTTAAAAAGTGGGCACCCAAATTACGATGATCAACGAGATGGGATTTGGGGGTACCCTAAGTTATTCATAGTTATTCTATTGAGATATGTCACTCACACCTAAAACAGAAGTTTCAACAAGAAAAAAAACATGTATATGTGTTGCTTAAGCTGACCAGCAGCCCACCTTTCACCCTGTCAAGCCTGATGAAATCAGTCCCATTTTGCAGCCCATCTGCAGGCAAAAATTATATGATGTGGATCGAATTCTAGATGCAACCAGCTTCAATCACACCTATCCGCCTTAGGTAGACATCAAAAGACATATGTCCAACAATAAAAAATATATGTATATCTATATGCATCCTCGAATTCTCCCCCTGGCCCCCCCCAGCAAATATCCTATGAAATCCCTTCAAGACCCACTATTTATTTATTTAATCTATCTATCTATCTATCTATCTATCTATCTATCTATCTAAAAAGATATCTATTATATATCATATTATACACACATATATCATTATATATCCGTCATTAATATCCCATCCCAGCCGCATCCCGCCTTCCCAAAATCCTTTGGGCACGTTCTGCTGTTGCACTTCCACCTGAGGCTCACCCCGGTTGATGGACGAGTCAAAGAGCTGCCCGTCGGCCGTCCAGCCGTACCATTCCACCTGGGCATGATTTCATGGGAGCTTGGGAGTCATGATTTCATGGTGATTTCATGCTGATTTCAATGATGATATTCAATGGTGATGAAAAATATGACATCATAAAATTACTGAAAATGACATAAAATATGACCACTCGTTTTTTTTTCTCGAATTTAAGCCACTTCAGAAATAGTGTTTTTTTCCTGGATTTCAGGTCCCTAAGAATTGGAGATTTTTCACCATTTGCCATGCCCAAATTGGTCACCAAAACTGTCCCCCAAATCTGGTCTATGACATTCAGCATGGTAGACCTGAGAAAAACAGAAAAACGTACTGTAATTGAAAATCCTTAGTATTATGTTTCAATCGGTTTGAACTGGGAAAATCATTTATTAGTGGATGTTTTTCAATTGCCATGTTTGATAACCTGGGGGTTACGACTGTTTTTAGTAAGGTTATGCTTTTCTTTTTTCTGGGGGGTGCTGTATGGTGCTGTATTGGTAGTCCAATAGTAGATTTACCAATGACATGTGGTCATTTTGCAACTCCAATAACAAACATATGATAAACCCATCGAATTCCACTTCATAAACTATACCATGTCTGCTATGTCACTACATTGCGGGTGAGTAAAAAAATTACGAACGCATCCAACTGGTTTTGGTAGCGCCTTTTTTCTCAAACCAAGCCACAGAGTCGTTTGCCCGGGATTTCAGGATGTTTCAAGATCATATTCCCAGGAAAACAATGGAAAACAAGGAAACTAAACCCAGGAAGACCTCTTCCCCCAAAGAAAATAAAGAAAAGCTTAGCTTGATTCGATTCGACGCTGTTCCCAAAAAACTACAATAATTGTATACCGCATTGGCCGGCCCAATTTTATAAGCTCCAAGATGCCCATAAATTCTTGTGTTTCAAAGAATCCCCAGTCATGGTTTTGCGTGCTTGCGGCACTTTTTGTAACCGTGGATTTTCAACTGCCATGTGGCGAAAAACTACCAGATGCGGGATTTATCCCATATATAATCCCTAGAAAATCATATGAAACCGTGCAATAACCACAGCAAAAACCATCATGATCTCTATGAATATGTATATATAAATCCGATAGATTTCTCCATTCATATTAACCATCAAACCATATATTATCTGGGTAAATCACAATATTTCACAAAGCTGAAATTAGGGGATGTTTCCCAGTTTCCCCATCTATAAACCATGATTCCAGGCTTCGGAAAAACGACGGCTTGGTCACGTCATAATTTGCTCAGACTATTCATCCAGTATTGTTGGTCGAATCCAGCATTAACCACTATTAACAACTATTAACAACTCTGGTAATAGCTGACAGTTTGCGAACTGGAAAATGGCCCAGTCGAAATAGTTGATTTATGTTGATTTACCCATTAAAAATGGTGATGTTCCATGTTTTTTTGTTTGTTTATATGACTTGACATGACTTGACAACAATCTGGTTGGTGGTTGAAAAACAATCTTGAAAAATATGAGTTCGTCCAATGGTTTTTCAGGATTATCCGAAATATATGAAATGGAATATCATCCAAATCTTTGAAACCAACCAGATTATCATCTATCTATATATCTAACTATCATTCCGTTATTGACTTTATCTTCGCATTATTTCCCATAATATATTGTTGCATTTACTCTCCAGTAAATTAACATAGACCCTGCCAGATAGGGGTTGGAAGATTAATTTCCATTACAAATTGGTGATTCTCAGGGTCCAACTGTTTATTTACCAGGCCGGGTATCTCCCGATGGTTTTTTTCATCCCCAGTCAGGCCGCAACAGCTCGGTTCGCTTCCTTCGCCGTGTCCGTTCCATTGCCTTCGCGGATCACTTTGCTTGCGAGGCCGGACCTGGGTGGCGAGCGCCAGGTGGCTTGCCATGGAGCTCTGCGAACGGAAATGTCTGAAATATGGAACTTTTGGTGGCGAACATCCACTTGATTTTGATGTTTGTTTACTGGTTTTTACTGGTTTTTAATGGCTTTAAACTTTAAAGTAACTAAGAAAAACCATAAACCAGCCAACCATCAGAGCCACTAATTGCATCCCATGTTTTGTGCTTAACAAGCCACACTTGATGCTAACCAGTCAAGGGTTGACTGGTCACTACAAACATTTTCCGCATATCAGAGTTGTGGACAAAGCATGGGTGAAGGTGAGACTGTGCTCATATCACCATTTTCATTGGTAAACACCCCAGACTACCCCATGTTTGGTCTGATTTGATGTTAAAAAATGTGGATTTTGGTCACCACTCACTTGATTCCCGAAGCGTTTGTTGGTTTATCATCAACCCCATAAAAATACTATAGTCCATAGCTTTTAGTATCATAAACCACAGTTGTCGGAGTTATTAGCACCAGTCTCCGTTAAAGAACCTATCAACCATATCAACAATCATTTCTTCACTTATATTTATACTGTCTTATATCTCCATATTCTTCAGCGTTAACATATATATATACACCCTCTGGTAAACTAACATAGCTCTGGAAAATGGTTCATTTATCGATGAGAATCACCGATTCCCATGATGATTTTCGATAGAAATTTGTGAGTTTCAAGTAGGTTAGCTCCCTGTTAACCAGGTGAACCGGCCAATCTAATAGAGTTCACTGGTGATTAACTAATGTCAACCATTAATAAACCCCTAGCCCGCTGTTGAAGTGGGGAGGTACCATTTGAGTATTGGATTACCACTATCAGACTATTTGGGGAGTAGCCTGTCATAAGCCATGGTTTATTAATCCAGGGATGACATTACCTTCTGGTAAACATACAAAAAACCATGGAAAATCACCATTTTGAATAGGTAAATCATCTATAAACTGCTAATTTTCAATAGCTATGTCACAAACTACCAGGCCGGGTACACTTCGAAAAACCCATGGAAAATTGGTATGTGGTCAACCCTGCCAGGAACAGCTGGCTGTGAATAGGGCTATTTTTCGATCGGCGGGCCACTCCGTCACTTCCGCATCCGCCGGCGCTGTGAGCTCCTCTGGCGTGGGGGGCGGTGCTTGGCCGCGCTTCAGGCCGAACAAGGTCACGTCCAAAACGATATCGCCTCGGCTTGGCCATTGGGAGGTATAGTTTCATGTGGTTATATGATCTTTAGTCACGTATATGTATATATATGTGATTTCTCATATTATATTTGGTGATATATGGTGATATATGGTTTATAGATGGTTGTATATGATCGAGCAATGGTTATGGGTCTACAGGTCCTGGGGCATATAAAGGTATATAGAGTAAGGGGTGTATAGGGTAGAGCTTCAAGTTCATAGTCTCCAGCAACAACAATGTAAACTGAAATTTGTTGAGCCCATCCAAAACAATCCAAGGAATAGTAAACAAAACTAGCCTAAACGCAACATTCCTTGCCCCAATTTGCACATCACAAATCCACCAAACACCATGGTACTATCAAGTCATCGGAAGTTGGTGATCAAAAAGAGCAACTTATTTTGAGGTCAGAGTTCGCTTGCGTTTTAGGGTCGAGGCACGACTTTTACGTTGACCGTTTCCCAAGCTCATTCTGGTGATTCCCAAAAACGAGGCACGACTTTATCAGTTGTCTGTAAGGGTCTTCCCCCGGAGTGGGGATGGGGTGGCTTTTGATGATCATCTATGAGCTATAAAGATATTTGTATAATATATATATAGAGAGAGAGAGTACATATAGAGTATATATATATGCACTATAATATATATACTATATATATATGCACTATAATATATATATACTATATATATAAACTATATATATACTATATATATACTATATATATATATTCTATATATATACTATATATATATATATATTCTATATATATATTCTATATATGTACATATCTATAGAGTGTACAGTGGTGATCCCCTCCCGTGTCCCATGCGCCTGGGGGGCCACCTTTGCCCTCAGAACCAAAGCCCAAATCGCCTGGCGATGACCATACGGTTTTTGTGTTTTTAATTGGGGAAGCTCATCCTTTTTAAAAGCAATCTAATGTATGTATGTATGTATGTATGTATATATATATATGAATGTATGTACTTGATTATAAGGGGATATGGATATATATATATATATATAATTATATGTAATTACTTGATTATAATAAGGGGATGTATATATATATATACAAGTGACTATGATGGGGTATATATATATAGAGAGAGAGAGGGAATGTAATGGTGATATATGGCCATTAGTCAAAAACCTGGTGCCCGAGGTACCCCAAAATAGCTGGTTTATGGATGTTTATTCTCCCATTCATATGGTAATAATAAGTTTGACCCATCCCATATTAGGAATAGCATCCTCAAACCAATCCAATATCATGGTGTATATATATAATATACATATATATATATAATAGAATTGTACATATATATATATTTATAAGAATAAGTATATATATATATATATTACATATAAATATTGGCGATATATTTCAATATCCATGTCAAGGTTGGTGCCAAGAGTGTCCTTTTCGGACAAATAAGGGCCGCGGCTTGGTATCTTATGGAACTTATGGATCAAGATATAGATGAGCAAATCATTATACGACAGGGTATGATAGGGTACTATGTAAGACTACAAGATGTCAAAAGTAATCAGGTAATTGATAAAACGTGATTAATAAGATGTCATACCCTGATATGATTACTGCAATATAATATTCCTGTTTATTAGCCACCTGATAAAACGGGATATCAAAGAGCCAGACATGGAGAGGGCATCCCAGACATCTGTGTCCCTTTCATCTGTGTGTCCGTTATGGCATGTAGATGATAAATTACAATACATAATATATCATAATATATTTAAAAAAACAAAAAATAGTATTATATTATATAGTATTAAAATATCCATATATTATCATATACATACATAATGTATATATATATGCATACATGACAGCGTACCTCAGCCAGTTTCGCCGAAAACGTCGCCTGGAATCCAGAGTCTGATGGTCTCGCCCACCTCCATGGGATGCAGGGGCGGTGGCAGGGCCATGGATTGATGTCATGCTGTGGAACAGTAACCATCTAATGACTGGGTCTTACCAAACCAATCCCTGAAACAACCATTGGTTACAGTAACCAACCACTGAATTGATGTAAATGATTGGGCCGTGGATAACTATTGGTAATTTAAGATTGGTAATAACAGGTGATAATTATTACTATTGGTAATTAACCATGGAAATAGTTCTCAACTAATGGCTATATTACTATTACTATTGTGGGACAGTTGATAACTATTGGCTGGTTGGTGGTTGAGCCCAACCCCTCTGACAAATGATGGAGTTAGTCAGTTGGGATGATGAAATTCCCAATATGATGGAAAAATGAAAAATGTTCCAAACCACCAAACAGTATGTGTATATATATATAAAGGGATAAGCCATCTACCAACCTTTGTGAAGGATTTTGCAACCATCCATAGTACGTAAACTGCTTCAGTGGCAAGGAACTGTTCCCTTGTAACTGGGCTGATTTGATAAAACTATAAACATTGGGTGATCGGGCTTTTATCAAAAGATGTTTCAGCTTGTTTAAACTGGAATACACATCCATGTGTAGCAAGAAACAGACAATCACTGATCAAACTTGTCTGGTTGGTGGTTTCAACCCCTCTGAAAAATATGAGTTCGTCAGTTGGGATGATTATTCCCAACTGAATGGAAAGTCATAAAATTCATGTTCCAAACCACCAACCAGTTGTTCAACCAAGGTTTACCCAACAATTTACCGCGTCGAAAATCCCAACCGGTTTTTGCAGGTGAATCGACCAACCCAACTCGCAACGACACCGTTGACAGCCACCGTAGAGAAGAAACTCAGTTGATGCACATCACTTAGGAAATATGAGGAATATATATATATATATAGTTACTCATATTTCATGATACGTCAAATGTTAATACTAATATATAGTTATAATATATATATATACAGATACAATATATATATAGTTATAATATATATAGTTATAATATATATATAGTTATAATATATATATAGTTATAATATATATAGTTATAATATATATATATATTGTTATAATATATATATAGTTATAATATATATATAGTTATAATATATATATATAGTTGTAATATATATATATAGTTATAATATATATATATATAGTTATAATGTATAGTTATAATATATAGTTAAAATATATAGTTATAATATATAGTTATATATACTTATCATAAGTTATTAATACTTAATGGTTAGATGAAATAGATACTTCATGGTTATTAAATATTTAATACTCAGGAATAAATGTTATTAATACTTAATGGATCTTAATGGTTAGAACATTGAGGAAGAAGCCTCATTTAATTCCATATAATTCCTAGTACTTGGTTCACTATACTTACAAGCTATACTGGTTGGTGGTTTCAACCCCTCTGAAAAAATGAAAGTCTGTTGGGATGATTGTTCCCAACTGAATGGAAAAAACCAAACTGTTCCAAACCACCAACCAGTATATATATCTATATATCATAATAGCTATAACTATACTTGTCCTGTAATGGGTTTATGAAACAACATCACTGGGGGGCCTCACCTTGTAGTAGATGAACCAACAAAAAAGGATAGATCCCACGCAATTATCCAACCATATGTTGAAATAATGAAAAGTCCTATTAAGATGGATTATTTCAGGGGCTCCCCCCATTTGAAACCCTATGGCTGTGGAGATGGAAAATGGGGGTTCCCTTAAAACGGCCATGTTGAACATGATGTCACTGGCAAACACCAAACTGAACACCTCATGATTCTCGATTGGCAGTGACCCAAGTCATGTATGGCCATAGAAAAATCTCTCCGAAGAATGGGTGTCGTCATAGGTACACCAGTTTCAAACGTTTTGAAACCATTCCGGAATTGAAATGACCATGTTGACTGGGTGACAGAGGTAAAATGATCTCTGTCCTTCTGGGACCGTCTCCATGGGAGAACGTCGCCAATCCCAAACATCATCGTCAAACAGTGATGATGATGTTTTGATTGTTTTGGTCCTCCCTCCAAGTTACAACGTCATCAACAACAGCAGCATTTCCCTTTGAAATCTTTATCCCCGGGCCCAAAAAAGCAGCGGTGCTTCACGTCCCCGGCACGTTCATCTTTTGAAGACCTTCAGTCCAACCCCGGATCACTTGACTCACCTGTGCGCCGACGGGAGATCCTAGTGGAAGTTTCCTGAAATAAGCCCCAGAATGGATGGTTTCTTGATTAATGATGGTTTATTGATGGTTTATTTCTTGGAAAATCCTCGTAAAAATGAATGATTTGGGTGAAAAAACTGCCCCCCATATTTTATGGACACCTTCCACCAGCCTTTTTGTTTCAAAGTTCCCATGTTCCGAAAGCCAAAAAACAGTAGTGAATCCTCGGAGAAAAAAGAGCAACGATTGGCCAGATATCCTGCAGATAAAAATGGTTGGCTGATGGCCAGAGATCCATGATTTTGTTGTTTACAGTCAATGTTTGGTGGAGGATGTTGCATTTTTTTTTGCTGGCAGCTAAAAATAGAAGCCATACCAGTAGCCCGATGTTAGTTGAAAAAAAATGTTGCGTTGATGTTTCCCGTACTGCAATATTACTTTTTCGCGGATGTACTTGCCGTCCAATTCCCATGATCCACCCCTTGTGGTGTCAAAACACTTGTTTCACAATCTGTCGCCAACTTATTCTCCTACTTTTGCGGATGTCGCCCATCAAAACGAATCTAAAAAAGTGGTTTGTCACATCAATGAGCATCACCATCCAATTTGATCAACACCATGTTGGATGATGATCTTGGTGGGTAAATACCTCCAACTTTTGGTGAAATCTTGACCCAGAAGCATCTTCCAAATCTCACGTTCTGTTCATTTAAGAGCTATTCACCCGTAAGGTCTCTTCAAAACCTATTATTGCCATTGCCATATTAATTGCTATATGACGGGGGAGAATAAAGATCCATTCACCAGCTATGGCACATCTTCAATTGCCATGAATATTGCCATAATGGGGGAACATATGGTTGACATTTCGGGTTCATGTTGCCACATGTTCCCAATTTCGACCTAACGTCATCCCCACCGTCTTCACCCCTGACGCCTGGAATTGTACTTTGCCGCGCGTGCGCGAGGAGTCAAAGACCCGGCCGTCCGGTTCAAAGCCTCCGAGCTTTTAGCCGGGGGGGGACCTCGGTCAACAAGTGTGCATGTAATTACAATATGTATATATATATATATTATATTACATTATATATTACAATATATGACATCAGTATATTTATATACAAATAATGTACGTATATATATAATATATATATATACATTATTGTATACGTATCTATTACAGCTCTTTTTGAACTTGTGTTTGCCCAAAAAATGGGTCAGTTGTGGCATGATGCTCGAATCACAGAGATGCCTTGTCCGAGCTGTGGAATGCTGGATGTTGATCCCCATTGGTGACACAGAATCCGCATGCGGAAGTCACATTGTTATCATTGTTCATGTCTGTTCATGATCTAAGCATGTTGGGAAATGCCACTTCTGAACTGGTTTTATGTCAGATCTGTTGTTAAGCATGTTGTTAATCGACATGATCTAACAAAACTGGAAATTTGCCAAACTTGTGAAGTCAGCGAAGCAGTTGGGAAACATTGGTGCAGCAAAAATTGGCGGAAGGAAACACATGTCGTCGCCAAATCTGCTGGGAATGTTCGCCGCCCATCCCCAAAAAGGGCCTCGGCATCATCTTGCCCAGTGTGCAGAGAACATAAAAAGGAAACCTTTTGGTGGTATACTTCCTGGTAATTTGAAATAGCTATGGAAAATGCAAAGGAAGACAACAATCAATTGAGCTCGTTCTATTAGTTTTATCCCGATATTTTCGCTGCAAAACATCTAAAACAGTTCCATGCTTGTTGTTTAGTTCCGTATATCTATTTGCTGCTTCAACTTTTCCCAACTCACCAGTTTGATTGCCTGATTTTTCCAAAAATCACATTTTTTCACCAAAACAAAATCACATGAAATGCCCAATTTTTCTAGCTTAACCTCCTATTTGGTTGATGGTTTTTCCCATATGTTTCCCATATGGTTCCCTATATTTTACCAATGTGTTCTCCCATGTTCTCCATATACCATCATTTTCCCATAGTTTTTTCCCATTTCCGCATGGATTTTGCCATAGTTTTTCCCAAGGTTTTCCGAGAAATTCCCAGTAGTGTTCCCCATATAAAAAACGAAGCCTGTGAAGGCCACTGAGACCTTGTCGAAGGCGCGGGGCTTGGCACATTTCCTTGGTACCAGCAAGAATTCATGGATATACCAAGAAAATGATAGTGATTATCAGATATCACCAGCAGATATTAAAATATGAACTATAGATATTAACTATTAATATCTGTGAATATCAGAAAATGATGGTTAGTATCTATTTTGGGTGGTAATGTCTGATATATAGTTAATTATGATCAACCAGATAATATCAGATATGACCAGCCCAAAAACATCTCTGATATCCCACTATAGTTTAGTCTTGATATTAAATGATCAACTATATGGTTATCAAAGTTCAATGGTTAAGAACTATAGAATTTTAAAATTCTGATTAATAGGTATTGTGATCTTATCATATATATATATATATATGACAATTCATGGTTAATAATGGGAGTATAAGCAACAATGTCGTATCATGTCGTATCATTGTAGATGTAACACTGCAGCTGTCGCGATAAGAATTTATGTATGAAGTAAGAATCACACCAGGCGTTCCCGCGTTCACAAATTGTATGGGTTCACCAGCGCTGTACACTTCTAACTTTTAACATGTTGCAGTAAAACCAGAAAAATATCTTCAGCATCAACATCAACCAACGATTTGTTGGGGCTAACGCTGATATAGCAATCCTAATATTTTCGGGACACCATTCAGACATCACCCAGGAACTGGGGGACATCGTAAGTTATGATACCAATTTCCGGGGTAGATTGTTGGGGATATCTTCGTGTTTGCAAAAAATCTTGCAATTTGGGTCCGGTCCCCATTTACGCTACTTACTCTCTGGCTATTTCACATAGCTATGGAAAATCATCATTTTTAATAGTTATAAATAATCTGTTTCTATGGTCCATTTTCAAGTTCGCAAACAAAAAAAAATAACCAAATCCAGGTACCGTACGTCAAGATGCGTCGCTTCGCAGTCAACAGCTTTCAGGATTTTCCACTTCAGGCCACTCTTTGTCACCTAACGGGCCATCGCTGGCAGTCCAAACTCATCAGGCTGGTTTCAACACATTTCAACATCAGACAGTCAGGCTGGGGGTAAACCCATAGGATAGCCCTTTTTTGCTGGATGGTTTCATGAAAAATCCGAACAGAAAATGGATGAGAATGGATGAGAACTGGGGGTACCCCTATGACTTAGGAAACCTCAGTCAATTGGAATTATCATGTATTTCCACGCCTACATTTTGCCGCTAAAATCTGCACAAAAAGAAACGATGATGTCACCAAATGTCAACTTTCCAAGCATCATCAATGAATATGACCACAATGTGAGGCCCCCCAGTTATAAGTTGGTTTATAAGCCCCAGAAACTATAGTTATAAGTACCATACATCATAGTTATTGGAGTTATAAACCAACTTAGATATCTTGGGGGCCTCACATTGCACCATTGTGTTTTAGGCTTGGAAACTCGCTGGTCAGTCGCCGCCATGAATCTGGCAAAAAAATGGCAAGCTTTTGTCCTGGCTGGATGACTTGAATTTCAATCCAGTCTAGCGCTAGTTCTTTGTTTATTACATAAATATTGTTATTTATAAGCCATAAATGAACATGGTTTATGGATGTTAATGGATGTTTATGGATGTTTATGGCACTGAATCAGCACAAAAACATGTTGGGAATCCTACCATGATCCATGGATAGGCACCTTATCATCCAACGGATCTGGGATGAAAAGTGGAGAGATATGGCATGCATAGTGCATTTGGGGGCCCACTTGTCAAACAAGATTCCTTATGTTTAACAAAACATCACCCTTTGGCAATGGGAGGCTTGGCTTTGGCTATCACAAAGTGAAGCCCCCAGTTCGAAGTTGGTGTATAAATTTGTATAAACCTCATTAACATTCATTAACATTCATTAGCTCTAGTTTTATCATGTTTTATCCCATAAAAATCCCCCATTAAAATCCATGGTAAATCCTATAGTTTCACCAAGTTCATTGTGGTCCTGGAAATGGATGGTATACCTCCAACGATCCAACAAAAAAACACCATTTTTTCATAGGGAAAATGATGATGAACATTGATGAACGGCTAGCTACAATGGGCTACACTATTTTCAGATACCCGGCCTGGTAATTTAACATGGCTATGGAAAATCACCATGTTTAATGGGTAAATCCACTATAAATGGCCATTTTCAATAGTTTTTTTTGGTATGTTTACCAGAGGGTATTCCTCAGGCAAACCCACGGTTCCATCCGAAACTTAAGTGGTCTGGGTAAATTATACTCTTTCACAAACCTGAATCTTGCGGCCATTTGGGATGATTTCCCTCAAATAAACCATGATTCCCAGGGCTCGGGAGAACAGTGAGGTCGTTATAATTTACCCAGATATATGTATCAATGCATATATATATACCCTCTGGTTATTTAACATAGCCATGGAAAATCCCAAGCATAAATGGAAAATCATCTATGAATCTATGGGATTTTCCATGGGTCATTATATAAATCACAATAATAAATGGATATTTCCATTAGGGTCATCGATACCATGGTATCTCTTGCAAACCGATGATACACAAAACCGCCGAAACCGTCACCTGCGCGTCTTCCGGCGGATTCTTCAGATCCTTGGGAGCCTGGGAGAAACTCGCGAAAGAAAAGGATCCAAAAGGACGGCTGAAACGCCTGACATATGGATTATAGATTTTAAAATCATTGGATTGGTTTGAGGGAAAATCTACAGGAAACCATGCTTTTTACCATCAAATATAGGGCTTTCCTGTAAATTTTCTCATCATCCAATTCTATGTTTAAAAAAACATGGTAATTACATAGGTCAATATGGATATATAGATTACCATATAGTAATATGATAAATAACTATAAATATCTATATTAAATAGATAAATAACTATGGAAATCATATATGATAATATACAGCAAATGTATATATATATGATGTCAATTTAAATTGTGTAATAACTATAGATAAATAACCATACTGTAGACTGTAGAATATGGATTTCTCATTTACACTATGAAAATATATATGTATGTATATATATATACAATATACACAGTATATAAATAAATAACCAAGAAACAGGGAAGTAAAGTAAAAGTGCAGACACCTTTAAAAACGGCCGATGTTTCTGCCTCGACTCCTGCAATAAGCCATATGTGACCCCCCAAAAATCATCCATGTTCATAGGATTTCATCCATTTATAGATGGATTTTCCATTATCAATGGGAAATCCAGGATCCTAAAATTGGAGGTACTGTATCATATAAGGCCATATTTTGTGGCGATATTCCCTGAAATTTAGGCCTTACATAGGCCTTATATACGGTAGGTACCTCCATCCATTTTGGGGTACCCCCATGACTATGGAAACCCCAAGTTATGAAGGGCAGCTGAGTTGGTCGATCAGCTGATGCTCGGAATCCAAGGCTCCAAGGCCTCAAGATACTCCCAAAAAGCAAAGCCTATGGCTCAAAACATGAAATGAAAGGGATATGGATGTTGATATATATATATATATAAATATTATAATAACATATATATATATAATCATATGTGATTATTAATATATATATATAATAACATATATATATATAACTATATATGATTCTTTATAATTATAAATATATATACATATATATAAAAATATATTAATATATATACATATAATTATTATATACATATATATACATATGTACATCATTATATTCTATGGATTAAATTCATAATGATTTGATGACCGATGTCGCAAAAAAGCACAGATGGAATAGTTGATCAGTCAATCCAGCCCATGATATTGTCAGTTCCTGAAATATCCTCAAATCCAACCCATCGCAATCTTCAACTGGCAATCATAACCCCCTACCCATAGGATCCATGTATGGTATATATGCTAACATAAAGGGGGTATATTGATGGGATCCATGTTACCATATAGAGCAGCACCATGGATCCTATGTGCTATGATGCTATATTCCTCTATACTTAATTATAACTTATAGCTGAACGGTGCAGCACCTCGTAGCACGATTCAATGCTCGGCTCGTTGTTAGCGTTGTTAGCGCTCCATGGATCCCGGCCATCATCTTACTGGTGCTTAGTAGGGAGTGAGGGAATGATCCATAATCACTAGTAATAATCATCCCAGCAACCCCCAGTCCGATCCATTCCCTGCTAAGCACCAGTAAGTCATTGAGCTACTTCAACAAGGTTTACCCAGTGATTGTACCCCACCACCCAGATCCACCCAGGACACCAACAGTTGCGTCGCCTGCTTCTTCTGCTCTTCTCCAAAAGGATCAAAGCCTTCCGCCCAAGCCGAAGAAGGCGGTCTAAGGAGCACCTGCGTCGCCGAAGAATTCGGTCGCATTTTTGGGCAAACAGAACATGACATGAGAAAACGCATAATTTTCACAGCTAAATCATGTCTTGATTTAATTATGCTTTGCCACATTTGAGGCATTTGTTTCAAAACACATATCATGAGTATCTCACCTGCAAAACCAGGAGATCTACAGTACCATGCTTCCACGGTTCATATTGAATCTGTCCACAAGGGAATACATCCAAGCATTTGTGCACATCATGAGACCCTTCTCGATTTCTACTTCGCGCACGACTAATGACTACACTGATGATTGAGTTGTCTAGTTTTATTGTTGATTACACTGATGGTTATGTAGTATTATATAGTTGTATTATGTTGTATTATTGATGTTAAACAACTCCATTGTAGTTTGTTTAGTTTTAAAAGCCATTGCCATGTTTTGAGTAGTCCTTGGCTCTGAAAAACATACGCGAAAGTTGAGGAGAATCATCTCCAAAGGGCCCATAATGCCATGGGATTCCAGAAATGAACAAAGATTTGGGGTAGTAATGCCATCCCCCCCCATTATTCAAGACCCCATTAAAGACTTAAAAACCATATATACATGATTTTTCTTTAATCCTACATTTACATACATTTACAGCATTTCCATTAAAGTATGATCCGTTAAAAATGCTGTATACATGGATGTAAATGCACTATGAAAAACATGATGAAAAACCATGGTTTCTGGGAACATCAAACATCAAACATATCCCAACCCCTCATATTTGGGGGGCACTACGACACTACCATCCCCTACTTCGATTCCCAACCAAAAAACCATCCATGTCATCCATGTACATTTGCACCAAATGCCATGCAAAATCTCGTAACCAGAGGGGATCTCCGAATGAAATTCACCTACAACAAGCCTCAAACGGTAGAGTTTTTAGCAATTTACCACTTGCTTCTAACTAAGTCTAGGATTTTCATGGATTCGATCGTTTTGATTTTTTTTGTGTATAGATTTTGTATCTCATCATACCTGGTATTTCTTTCGAAGCCCCGAACCTCTGAAGACGCGCTGATCGCCAGCAAATCTCTTCGGAGGTAACTGGATCTCGATCCAACGCTGCCAGGCGGTGAAACGAAGCATCGAGTGGCACCTTGGTGTCACATGCAAACGGAACATGGCTTCGAAATGCTACATACATCTGTAAACAAGAAATAGATGTCCTTGTTGCAGTCATTAAAAGTCATGTCATGATATTGAAAAAACTCTAAAACGTGAAGTTTTTTGTTTTTAAGGCTTACTGAATATCGACTGTTAAAATGGATTAAAATGGTAAATCTATGGTGTCCTTCATATTTTGCCATGCATGGCCGAAATAGCCAACTTCGCGTCCGTCAGTGCATCGGAATCTTTGGTGACTTTGGTGGCCTCCATTCACGTCCAGTCCTGAAATATGTCCACATCGTCTTTGGGGCGCTTTGGTCATGACTTGGGGGTGGGTCAAAACCTATTAAACCCCTGTAGTTCACATCAAAATAGCTGGGATTTATGGATGTTCATCCCACTAAAAATGGATCTATATAGGTATTGATCCATACCCACTTGATGGCAGGTTTTTCATGGCTCGATGGCTCAAAACGCTTTTTTTCCCCCCAAAGAACCAGCCATCGAGCCTCGAAGCAGCCATTTGTGGGTCCAAGGTACATGGTGGCCACAGCGATCTATGACAGACATGAAATGGAGGGCTTCACAAACGAAATATGGACAGAATTTCCGAGATATCTATCTTGATCTATCTTGTATATGTTGGTATCAAGCAATAACACACTTAGAATTATGAAAAGTCCTCCATTTATGAATCCTTTATGAATGTGTTTTTGTTCCCAACAATACACCTCCATGGCTACCCTCTGGTAAACATACTGTACGTACAAAAAACTATGGAAAACCAGCATTTGTCATGGGTAGTAATCAACGAACTTTCTATGGCCATTTTCACTAGCAAACCGTTAGTTTACCAGAGGGCAATCAATTTCATAAGAACAATTTCACAAGCAATATCTTTTGATGATCATCTTGATCATCATATCTATGAAATTGCAATAATATGGGGATTACCATCATATATAATGGGGATTACCATCTCTGAGCCATCAATAATATGGGGATATCCATAATATTTCAGAAAACCTGGCTCAGAGATGGTGTCATCCCCATGATTTTTATCCCACGAATCCCACATCCCCATGGATTTTCGCTTCGAGGCACTGTGGAGCAGCCTGGGACATGCTGATGACCATAGATTTTCAATGTCATGTGACTTGTTTATATATATATATATAGAGATAGATATTTAGGACATGATGTGACTTATGGACATTTCAAATCATTTCAAGATATCAATATCATAGATACATGATGATGCATGTGCTAGACTCTATACTCTAGACTCTAGACCTTGGCCTCAAAAGACGTCTTTCACTTTTTTAATCGTTGTTTTTATCTTTCTTTCGAAGCGCTTTTTTGGGTGCCGTGAATTTTAGATTCCGAACCTGCCCTGATAAAAGTTGCAGCTACCTGTGAGTTGGGATCGATGAAATTCACTGAAAAACCAATGGTTTGATCATGTGAACTCGGCATCAAAGAGACAACTGATGTTGGGATTGGCATTTTTGTTGGCTTCCCATTTTAAAGCCAGTTGATACCACCTATCAAACGTCCAAATAAAACTCTTCCTCGAGAAGAAATCAGCAAAAAATCAGCGGCTTCAAGTTTCCCCCTCCATTGGGTCCAACACAAAAACACATTGCGAGTTGGAACCTGGAATTTGGAAAGCAAAGCTCGCATTCTTCATGTTTTGTCAATGCTTTTGACTGGGCCCATGTCTGGAATGTGACCGATGGTGATCTCATTTCTGCAGAGCGAAAAGTTGTGGCAGTCCCGACTCTCTGTCTAAAGGTCGACCCAGGAAAACCTGTCATTCACCAATTCTTCGCCAGTTATTAAGTTAATTCACCTATATATATATATATATATAACATATGATATTTTTTTTTGTTATTATGTTCTACATCCTCATTCCATGATATACATATATTTATATATATAACTAGTTCACTTCAAGGCTTCAAGGGGTAAAAGGACATCCATTTTTGCACTATTACTGGGGGGAAGGTAGACCAAAAATAATTAATGTCAAGTTCGTACTAATCAACCCCTCCCAAAACATGTTTCCTGTGTGAGGGTTGATTAATCCCTAGTGGATTAAATCAATCCTAACTTTACATTAACTCACAAATGATCACCAAGAGTTATACATGGGTTTATAATGATATGTAATATTACACATATTATACTCATTATAACCCATTAGAAGTTATCGTTATTATATAATATAACCCTCGTGTTATAATTCTGGGTAAATTATAATATGTCACTAACCTGAATTAAGGCCATTTGGGGATGATTTCCCTTATTAACCATGATTCCAGTGAGGTCGCAGTGAGGTCGTTATAATTTACCCAGATAATTGTATTTATAACTCTTAAGGGCCATAACTGTAGGTATATTCCTTCTTGCTGCTTCACCCATCTTCACCCTACCATGAAAACCGAGTAACAGACCCACCAGCAGCACTCGTCGCAGGCGATGAGCATCCATGGAATCCACGTTGCGCGAGACCGGCACGCCGCGCTGCCGGGTCTAAGTATGGGTATATAGATTGTAACATTTCACTAAGCTGAAAGGTTGGGCTATTTTGAGATAGTTTCAACAAAATTCCAGTGATACCAGCAGTTTCCGACATCTTCGGTTTTTTTGGGGGATCGTGTGCGGTTGCTCAGATGCTTTCGGAGCTCTTGTCTTGTGCTTTGAGGAAGTTTTTGTCACTCAACTTGAAGTTGTAGAGGAATTGGTTGCTAGATGTTTTCCCCGTATCTTGTGAATGTATGGCCAGCATCTTTGACATGGGTTTGCCATCAAAACATCATCGCTCCCGGGGACCCTGATGACAGTTTCAGTTGACATGGTGTTTTCGGATCAAACAGGGTCGTCATCTAACATTCTGAAACCGGGGCCGGTAAGGTAACTTGATTTTATTATGGCACCGGTCTCCTGCTAGCAAAATCAACCAACATCAACCATGGTTTGTTGGACGTTTCTTCTCATGGGCTCCCAAATCCGAGCCGAAGCTCAAAAAGCGCTGCGCATCATGGTTTGTTGGACTATGCCCATGTGGAGCACCATGGTAAAACAACATACCCTCTGGTAAACTAACATAGCTATTGAAAATGGCCATTTATAGTGGATTTTCCCATTCAAAACGGTGATTTTCCTGAGTTTTTTGTATGTTTACCAGGCCGGGTTTTTTCCATCTGAAACCCCTGGGTTTCTTGGCTCAGTGTTTCACATTGGAAATCAGTGGATGAATCACTAAAATCCAGCGGGATCTCATCCCAATCATCCCGTACTGTGAAAATCCAAACATCGGTGTAGAAAGCCCGGTGAAAAACTGGATTCCCAAACATCCAATGTCTGATTCTGGTTGTAAATCCCATGAAAACCCATGAAAACATCCCAATCTTTCACACATTTTTTTTTAGTGGTTTGTCTTCAATACTCAGATAGGGCTTTGTCTGAAAATAGGGTACCTAAAAAAAATCCTTTAGTGAATCATCATTTTCCCTATGAAGACAGTCCCATATGGCTAGCTGGAAAATCCTCCATTGAGGTCAATCATGGCTTCAGGGATTTTTGAGCCACGGCGATGACAAAAAACCACCGCGAAAAACCAGACCTGGTTATAGGGAAAATCCCCATGATATCCCCATGAATTCCAAAGAAAAATCCAGAAAAAAATTACCATTCATTACTCAATGAGAATGAATTAATAATGGCTAATGATGATTAATAATGGTTAATGATGATTAACAATGGTTAATGATGATTAATAATGGTTAATGATGATTAATAATGGTTAATGATGATTTTTACCAATGTTCAAGCTCTTTTCCCATACTTCCCATCCCATCGTTCCCATCCTTCAACGGAACGCCGGTTTTGGGCCGCACCTTGGCTAAGACTTCCGGCACCTTCTCGCGCTCTTTGTCCGGCAGATCCAGGAAACCGTGCCTCTGGGGTTCACCAAATTTCCAAAAAAAACATGGCCTCCATTAACATTTCACCATGGAAATGGCCCATAGAAATAGATGGTTTACCGTTCTTAAAAATGGGTGGATCTTTCCATGGCTATGTTAGTCATAACCAGATGGTAATATTTGGGGATGGTAAATGACTAACATAGCTATTGAAAATGGCCCAGTCGAAATAGTGGATTGTCCCATTAAAAATGGTGATTTTCCATAGTTATGTTAGTTTACCAGAGGGTATGCTGGGTCAAAACCCTGGTACCTAGTGAACATCAAAATAGCTGGTAAATGGATGTTCATCCCACTAAAAATGGTATTAATAGGTATTGACCCATACCCATATTTCTCTCTAGTGGAATTTGCAGCACTATCTGATAGAATTCTTTATGGTAAGTTCACATCAAAAACAAAAACTGTACCCTCTGGTAAACTAACATAGCTATTGAAAATGGCCATAGAAATAGTTGATTTCGGTGTTAAAAATGGTGATTGTCCATAGTTATGTTAGTTTACCAGAGGGTATATGGGAAACCTGAAAAATCATGTTTAATGATCGTTTTTCAGAAACCATTGTTCTGGTTTCTCCATTGCAATCATCGAAATTTAACCATGAGAAACATGGATGTTAATGGAGGCATCAAAGGAAACCATCACTATGTTTATATTAACTTAATAACCATTAATTGATGTTTACGATTGACGATTAACTTAACATGGAATTTAAAATACCTCCATTTACAAACTGGGGAACCTGGAAAATGATGTTAAGATTGTGAAACAAAAAAATAAGGTAACTGATGGTCACTGTTCTAATTAACTATAAATGTAAATATAAACATCATGGCAAAACCATGCCTCTATATATGGAAAAACCATCGTGGTGTCCCCTCTTTTAACATGTTTATGCCGCCATTCACTATGGGAACCATAAATTTTGTAAATGATGTTCAATGTTTAAGCACGATCAATGGGAAATCCCCGAAGTCCATGGAGGTAAAAATTCTTGGGAAAGTTGTCTAACTCGCCTGGTTTAACGGTACCATGTGTGATATTGTGTGATAACTTACCGGTTGGACTAATATTGGTCCTTAAAAAAGGGTGTCAACTCTGAAAAAGGACATCTATGGCGTTTTTTGGACAGCACCATGTGACACTTTTGAGGCCATAGTAAACCTGGTATTAAGTCTCACATGTCGAAGATGGGAAGGAAACCTACCTTGGTCGTGCCATCATAACAAAATACATCAAAATACCATAAATACATGCACTTGCTGGCGAATTTACTAAATGACCTCGCCAATTTGTCTCCCATGAAAGTTGGGTCGTCTCGGGTCTCCCATGGGTGTCACCAGATTCACCAGTGGCTGTGGGACATCGATTCGCCGATGCCGAGGATCAATGATTCCCAGTTCCGAATCAGACAATTTCTGGTGATCAAACTTGCCAGTTTTTGACCATCAAACTTGCCTGGATTTGTTCACGCGTTTGATCATAATTTTATATCAATGTTCTTCGCTGATTTTGCCAGATATAAACTATATATAAACTATATAAACCCTCCATAAAAATATGGGATGTCCATGGATGTCCCCAGGATGTGGTCCAGATCTTCCCATGTTTTTTTCCTTCACAAATTCTAAGGTCCGGGACTCGACCAGGTCGTTAAGCTCCATGGTGATTTATGGTTGGTCTCATTGATCCATATGCTTAAAACTTAAGTCTTTAATTTATGGTTAATCTATTGTTAATAGATTTGTTAATATATGTTTAATAGATTTGTTAATCTATGGTTAATAGAATTGTTAATCTATGTTTGATATACATATATATATATACATATGTCTAATTTGTGGGTAATATAATTGTTGATATATTGTTAATACATGCTTAATTTGTGGGAATATATAATGGTTAATACATTGTTAATATACTCTTAATCTACGGTTTATACAATGGTTAACCTATGGTTAATATATTCTTAATCTACGGTTAATGGAATTGTTAATATATGGTTAATACATGCTTAATTTGTGGTCAATATAATGGTTAATATATGGTTCATATATGCTTTATAGAACGGTTCATATATTGTGGTTGATATATGCTTAATCTATGATTAATATATGGTTAGATAACGATCCATACATGACTCATACTTAGAGCCTCCAAATCCCCCAAAAAAGCTTCAACGTCGCAAAGTTGTGCGGTAAAACACAATGCTTATGGATACTTGGAGAGCCTAGGTACAAATCCCTAGCTAGCTGGACTGACGGTCAGTGGATACTGAGCCAGTGGAGGATTCCTACACCGGCCTCATTGGAGGTCTCCATTCCTTGGCCCCGTGGATTCTTCGGAAAATCGCCCCGCAAAAAAAACAACTGAAACTTGCCAGAAACTACTGAAACGACTGAGCTAAGTGGGAAGCAAATAGTTTTCCCAGCCTTTCGAAGGTTGCTCCACCTTCGATAATCTCTGCCAGTTTGCTGGTGTCCTGCCCAGTTTTTTTCGAAAGGGCGTGATGCTCCCAGAAACGTATCAAGCTTCATCACCATGCAAATGTGTTCGTGACGAAAAGCATATGAACACATACACCTGACAGGGAAAAACACAAATCATGCTCGAATTGTGGTACATTGATCCTTCAAAAGAAACAAGGCGTTGAACCACGGAGAAACAGTAAAATTCTCGGTTTAAGGCTGTATTATAGCTTCGGAAATCATGTTCTACAGATTCCAAGTAATTACTTCCATTGAAGTGCATTTCATAAGCGGTTTTCTTTGCAAAATGCAGCTAGTTTTGCTTGGGACGACCACAACGCCGTTTACCATAGTCTACTCTGTTTCCGGAATTTGGCTCAGAAGATACTTGTCTTAAAGGGTCATCCTCAGGGGCTCTAAGCACGTGCCCAAGTAATTTGGTCTTGCGGTGAAGATAATGTTGGCTGAAAAGACTGGCTTTTGTGCGGTCTTCCCGGTGCGTGGACACAATGTCTTTTTTTTTTTGAGCACTGCCTGGTTTGTATTTCGTCTATCTATGAACGTCGGCGCTAGCCCCAGATTTTTTCTCAGGCAACGCAACTGGAAGGCGTCGATTTTTTTCATCATGGCTTGTGTGAGATGAGCAGTCTCCAAACCATATAGATAATTTTGGATTTAATAACAGCATCAAAGATCAGCAATAGCCATTTCAAATTTGCATTCGTTGCTTCCAATATGGCATTAATCTGAACCAAGTCTTTCTTACTTCTTGCATTTTTTTCAAAATTGCGTGCCAGATGTTGGCTTCTCTGTTGATTTCATTTCCTAAGTAAGTGGTTTCAAATCTTTTTGGGAGCGGTTCTTGATTGTCGAAATGGACCGAGCCATCATTATTCATTTGGATTGCGACACACTTGTTTTGGTTTAAACATAAACCATATTTACTGAAAATCACTTCCGTCAGATGTAATAATTCATTAAGGGCCCTGTTGTCGGTGGAAACAAAATACCTTGTAGTGATTGCAACCCGTTTGAGACTTCACATACCCCATAACCCACCCATGATCATCCATTCTCGCACTTGGGTTTATGGTAGATATCCCATGAAATGGGAGAAAATCTATGGGATAATGTATGGGATATTAATATTATTAATGGGATAATATGGTTAATAATCAATAGATATGGTGTATGGTTATTAATATCTGGTTGGTGGTTGACCTACCCCTCTGAAAAATATGCGAACTCGTCAGTTGGGAATGATGACATTCCCAATATATATGGAATAAATATTCAAATCATGTTCCAAACCACCAATCAGAATAATAAACCATCCCCAAAATCACCATTCATGGGTGGTATGGAAAGTCATAAAAATCCATGGTTCCAAACCACCAATCAGTCATGAACATGATCCACTATCAGTCAGGTGTCGCTTCCAGAGAAATTCGGATCTCAGGTCTGCAAACGAGACAAATTATGGTAGATCTGAAGATTATCCCATTAAAAAAATGTAAATTATTGATAAGCTAAACTAATTACATATTATATATATATATGATATATATATATATGATATGTTATTTATAATATATATATATATCATATATTATATATATGCATCATCTTAAGCGATGTTTTTTGGTGATCCTCCGACCCGTCCGGCTCCTGAACCTTCGCTTCGATCCTCTTGACCAAACGCGTTAGGCCGCCTGCCTGGTTGGTCACGACTGGCGACGCAAGGGGCCGATGACAAGCCACGGAAAGCTCCGAATCATGATGTATTAATTGATCAAACTCTGAACCACATGTTGTTTCACATTGTTTTTGACATTGTTTGACTTGTTGTTTCACTTGTTGTTTCACATGTTGTTTCACTATCTCTAGGATGCTTGAGAATGCTTCAGAATTTAACAAGGATACAAAAACCTTACTGTCACCATGAAGAGCATATTTCCAATGAACATATGTTGTTCGAGTTGTAGATTGTTAGGGGTTCGTGAGGATCCAGTCAAGCATGTTCAACAAAAATCATTCCCCAAACGAAACCCGGTTGTGAAATGGGTATGGATCAATACCTATTAATACCATTTTTAATGGGATGAACATCCATAAATACCAGCTATTTTGATGTGAACAGAAGGGGTACTATTGGTTTTGACACACTGCCAAATATATTGCATTCATAGGAGGGATGATTTGACACACATTTGGATGATTTTCTTTGAATGTTATGTCATAGGAGGGATGATATATATATATATATAAAAAAACGTAGATAAATGTAGTGGATCCAACCTACAGCCATAAAAAGTGGAGAAACTTATGGCTTTGGCCAATGCTCAGCATGGGCACTGCCATTTCTTCGAATGGTGTACTGCCATTCAACTGATGAATGTCATGAATGTCGGCCGGGGATCTTCTGGCAAACCCCGATTTCATGGTTCATATCCCATGACGGATCCATATGGAATCCATGGTTATAATGCTAACATAAAGGGGGTATATTGATGCGATCCATGGCACACCATATATAGCAGCACCATGGATCCTATGGCTATTGATGGTTGCTAGTTCAATCTCCCGTTTCTTTCTCGTGTCAAAAAGCCTGGATTTCACCCTGACCGAAAATACGTCTGTTCTTACCAACTTGAATGGAGCCCGAAAAGAATGGAGCTACTGTACCATATAAACTACATACAGTAATATATAAACATATATAAACTCTATATAAAAATACCATCTGGTTATTTAACATAGCCATGGAAAATCCCAACCATACATGGAAAATCATCTATTTATTCTATGAATCGATTAGGGTCATCGAAAAACCATGGCGAAGGCCTCTCCAAGCATTGCACTGAGCTTCTCCAAATCCTCCAAAGGGATGTCTCCATGGTGAATGGTGAAGTTTTTCTGGCTAAAGAAAAGGTGAAGATTCTGGTGAAGATTAGTATGTAATGCTAAATAAATATATTGTTGAGAATTAGTTATGCATAACTGCATAACCATGATAAACCAATGATATATCCAGAATCAACCACAGTTAACCATGACTACAATTATCCTCTGGTAAACTAACAAAACCATTGAACATCACCATTACCATTTTATAAGTAAATCATCGCACTAAGTGAGCCGTTTTCCATAGCTATCATATGCTAGTTTACTTGAGGGTAGTTGTGTTTAGTTATGGCTAAGACATAGTATGCTGTTCCACGTGTTTTTTTCTCTGGATATATCAATGGTTTGTTATGCTTATATAATTATGCTTATGTAGGTATGGTTCAATATTGTTAGTTATGGCTAGTTTCAGTTGCTTATGGATATGTCACTGGTTTATTATGATTAGTTTTGGATCTATTGTACTATTGTTATATTACTGGATATTACTCGTTGATTATGGTCAATGGCTGAGACGTTTGATATGTTCTTCCGTGTTTTGCTATGGATATATTACTGGTTCATGGTGAACTATGCTTGGTTGTTGTTATGCGGATACTCAGGGGTGCAGTTGAGGTCATCATCTATGCAAAACTCATGGAACTTCCAAACATATTACGTTGGGGGAACATGTTTTCCATTACAAGAGGGTTGGAGGTGTATTTTTGGCTGTTTTTTTCTTGAGGCAAAAAAACCTTGGTGACTTTACTTCCATGAATTGGATATTTTTCAGCCAGTGGCCATATTAATCTACTTACTAGTCGTGGAACTGCACAAGCCGAAGATCCACGAAGCTCAAAAGGAACTTCCATTTTTGGGAAACCGTTTCGGGGAAACCACGGAATCCTTGGAGGATCATAGGATCATCTCACTTACCAACTATAGTATATATAGAGTAACAGTTAGTACCCTCTGGTAATTTAACATAGCTATTGAAAATCACCATTTTCAATGGGTAAATCCACTATAAATGGCCATTTTCAATAGCTATGTTAAACTACCAGAGGGTAACATGTAGATATAGTTGGGATGATCCTCCAAGTAGTTCTTGGGAAATAGACGAGATGCCTCTCTGTAGAATGACTGAGGCGATGGATGACCCAGATTCTGGGAACCCACTCAGGCCACAGTCAACTCAATTCATCACATGGCTTGGATAAACGCCCCACCGGCGAGCAGCAGCCACTGGCTGGGATAACCCTCCGATGTAAGAATCAAATAAATTTGTCTAGTTCATGGGTCATTAAATGTCCCCATTGAACATCACCCAACCATTAGGTATATGGTCTATAATGGCTACTATAAGGTGATGTCCAATATATCCAAAATGGGACAGTTATAAATCAGGTTCGGGTGCCGATCATTCAAGATCATTCTACATGTCATTCCATTCGTCATGGAATGCCCAAAAAAATCAATGGCCAGTTTTTTTTGAGTCACATCCAATACTCAAACCAGAGGCCTGGGGATATTAGTAAAATTAAAGGAAAGGGATTCAATTAATTTGATCTGGTTATGAGTTTAGAATCCGAGGGATTGGAATCTACAAATTCGTCGGATGATCCGAATGATGATAGAGTTTTGAGGCTTTCTGATTCTGATTTTGATGCTCTCCCGAGTAGAAAAACAACCTTTTTCTTGCATACCCAAAGTCAACAAGAAGTCGTCGAAAGCGGATTGAGATGTCATGTCTTTAGGAAACAAATTTCAGGGTGCTGGACATTGATTACACATTATTATACAAGATAAAACTACATGATTAGATAGTTTTTAAGTATGGATAGACATCATCAAGAAGTCAGGCATGGTCAGGCAAAATGCCATCAGGCAAAAGGGCTGTTCTCCCTTGACATGTTCCAGCCCTTTCAGGCGGGGTTGAACATGCTTGAAATTACCCCTTTCCGAACCACTAGTCCCTAACTGCAAAGCACATCAAAGCGCAATATTGCATGTTTTTTTGTGGTCAAAGATTACTTTTTCTCCCTGCAAAATAGTGGGTTCAATCCCCATAAGTTCTCTATGTTTGGTTAATGTTTTCCCAATTTGGAATGTTCCATTTTTTCTAGTTACAATCTACAATTGTTCTCCACACTTTTAAATGTTAAATCATATTTCCCTCTGCTTATGTAACATAGCTATGCTATGGAAGCCATGACCCATTTAGTATGATCACAATGATGATTTACCTATTCCAAAGGGGTGAACTGGGCCATCTTTAATAGGTGAATCATCGGGTCCAAGAGCTACAGTAAATCACTATCTGGTTGGTGGTTGACCTACCCCTCTGAAAAATATGCGAAAGTCAGTTGGGATTACTTGACATTCCCAGCTGAATGGAAAGTCATAAAATTCCATGGTTCCAAACCACCAAGCAGCTATTATAAGCACCAACACTTGAAACAAGTCCATAGGCTAAACACATATGTTTTTCTCGCTCCAGAAACCTTCGCTCCTGGAAGCGCCCCCCGCCACGTCGCAGGCTTTCCAGGAAGTTGCAGACCTGCGAGCAGGAAATCTCTACAGAATTGAGTAAACGAGGGGGGGTGGGACCAAATTGGATTCCGCGTGATAGCCTACTTATCCTACATACATACATACATACATACATATATATATATATATATACACATACATACATACATATATCTGGGTAAATTATATTTTTTCACTAACCTGAACTAAGGCCATTTGGGGATAATTTCCCTTATTAACCATGATTCCAGTGAGGTCGCAGTGAGGTCGTTACAATTTACCCAGACATATGTATCAATGTATATAGTCATCCCCCAAAAAATAGGAAGGTAAACTCCTTCTAAAATTTAGTGATGAATATACTGTTCTATCTTTTTGAGGCTTGCTAAACACGTGTTTAAAACGTATAGAAACTTGGCTTCTCAACCGAAAAGTGATGCACCTGTGACAGCTGCACAGGTCCCAGTGCTTTCAGGACATGTTGGACCTCAGGTTGAGGCGAGGTAAAGCCAATGATGTGGTCGTGCTCGTGTAAAGAAAACTATTTTCATGATTATATATATACTGTAAATCTAGATATATAATCAGATAATTATACAATTATATAATTATATATATATGATATATGATATATATGTATATAGTATATGGGGTTATTGACATAGGGGATGTCCAAAACCATAGGTTAAAAAATACTGACATGTTGTTTTTTGATAATTTGGAGGTACCGCCATTTTAGGAAACCTCCATATATATATATATACTATGTCACGAAACTGAGTTAATGGGATGTTGTGTACCGCAAAGCTTGAGCGGACATAATTGGGCAAACCCACTGCCGAACCATACCCCTTTTTTTTTTCGGGTATTACCATCTGACAATTTTACTGTCGCTAGTGGAAACTCACAATGTGTAAGAACGGTAAATCATCATAAATAGTATAAATCAGGCAACTACATGGGCTATGGCTTCAATAGCTGTGTCAAATAACCAGAGGGTAAACCTGCCAAATAGGGGGTTGGAAGATTACTTTCCACTTCAAACTGGCTATCTTCAGGGTATTATATTGAGGTTTCCTAAACTGGGGGTACCATAAAAAGGAGATGATTGATACTAGAAAATCCGAAAATAAAATGGACAATTTGGTGGTACGACCATTTTAGGAAAACACCATATTAAATCATCTATTTTTGTGATGTGTGAACCTGAGGGTATGAGGTTTGTGACCCCATATCGGTATTACCATTCATGACCCCACTTAATACTGGTAGACAAATGTGCTTTGTATTTCTAATTCTATCTACCCTCTGGTAATTTAACATAGCTATTGAAAATCACCATTTTTTATGGGTAAATCAACTATAAATGGGCCATTTTCAATAGCTATGGTAGTCTACCAGAGGGTATCCATGATACTGTATCCTACGTATACCTGGTACCTTGTGGCGTTCACCAATGCAGGTTCCAGGAACCTCTTGGACGAAATCCAAACTCACCTGCTGGGGTCACTGGGGTCTCATCTAATACTGTTTCTATAGGTCCACATTCCACATCCTAGACGCCGCATGAACGGAATATCCATGCAGTCTGTTCAAAATTCGAACCATCCTCATCGCAGGGTGGTTTGTCGAACCCTCGTGAAAGTTTCACACAGGGGTAGGCAGCCCATCTGAACCCTGAAACGCCTTAAAATCAAAAAAAATGCTAGAGTTCTTCCAGGCAGAACTATGGAAATTAATGGAAATTGCAAAACATTAAACATCCTTGAACTATTAGATGCCCAAAATCAAAATGAAGTCGCATGCACTTTTGCGATGATGGCCCCCTACTATCACCACCGTTGATCATCATGTTCCAAATGAAAACGGCTTTACATTCGAGGCTAAACCCCTCCATTTTCCGACAAACCGAATTATCATATTGCGACATGTATCCCACAAATATATCCCTATGATATCCCCATAAAATTCCCGTTGTATTTTCATTGAGTATCTAACTAATCTAACTATTTCCCCAAAAAAAATGTTTAGGATCCCTTTTAGTCTCATCTGTCCACACATGTCCACATATGTCCACATATGTCCACATATGTCCGCATATAGTCACATAGTCACCAACATATCCATTGAGAAAAACTCATTATGCCATGTGGGGACCCTGGAATAGATAAGTTGGACTGTAAACCACATGAATACTATAGTTATATGATGTTATATGTATCATAGTTATCGCAGGTATTTGCACCAACTTGTCTATCTAGGGGCCCCACTTTGTAATAATATATCATACTCCTAAACTTACATAACAGTGGACAAAATCATGGTTTGAATCGGGAAATCATTGCACTGCTACATGTTCCAGTTCACTATGTTAGTTTACTGGAGGATGTCCGGCTATGATACCATCGTTTTGAGTTTTCCATCGTTTTCCATAGTTTTCCACAGCTATATCTTAGTGGAACCTATAGCATAATTCTATTAATTAGTGAAACCACCATAGCTAATGATGATACATCATGATACCATGTAGTTTTCCTACAAGTATATGTTAGTGTACTATCTGGTTGGTGGTTTCAACCCCTCTGAAAATACTAGTCAATGGGAAGGATTATCCGAAATATATTATGGAAAAACAAATTCATGTTCCAAACCACCAACCAGCTATAATGTCAACCCTGGATTAATAAACCCCAAACGGCTGTTTACTTGGGAGGGTACCATTTAAGTATTAGATGAAATGACTATTGGAGGAGTACCCCCCCCCAATTGTCACAAACCATGGTTTATTAATCCAGGGTTGACATTACCATCTGGTAAACATAGCTATTTTTCACATGGTCCAGTCGAAATAGTTACCATTTACCCAGCATTTTAACATGCCTTCATCATCCACAGTTGACATATTTTTCATGACCCTTTGTGAAAAATGGTTGAATCTCCCAAATAGTCGATTTACCAGCTATAAAATGGTGATTCATCCAGGGTTGACATTAAATGGGTGTGTCTGAAAATAGGCTAAATTCCCAAACAAATAGCCATTTAATAGGGATAATGATCAGCAAAACCATTGGGTTTAGGGGTTTTCTCTATTTTCAGACAAACCCAAATGACCCCAATGATCTCCCCATGGCTTCGAAACCGTGGTCCCAATCCATCCGGGTCTTCGGCTCCACCAGCGCTGGCGGTGAGATTCAGCAGCTCCGTGACCGCCATTCTGCGGAACCCGGGGCCCAAAGAAGGGGCGTTTAAGGGGCCACGTTGAAGTCCAAGAACTGTGACAACTATGGCAACTATGTGGATGGTGTTTTATAACCAACTTAACTGAGACGTTCATATTTTTAGAACTATAGATACAAGAACTGTGACGTTCATATTTTTAGAACTATAGATACAAAACAAGTTTATAAACCAACTTAACTGAGGGAGCACCAGCTTGTAAAAATGTGAGATTTTATGAGTGAATGAGATATCATGGAATATTATGGGATATTCATGGAAATTGATCATAGAGTTTCAAAATTTGGGAATGTGTGAAAATGGGACTAGTAGCGTCCCAAATGGCCAGCAAATCGCAGTAAAAAAAAAGGCTCGTGATGTTCCAGCGTCGCTGGCCAAAATGGGAGATTGTTTGACCCAAACAGTGCCCAATTTAGCGGTTTGCTATTGAAAATGGATAAATGGACCATTTTCATAGTTGATTTACCTATTATACATCGTCATTTTCATTCATTTTTCATGGTTTTTTGGATGTTTACCATGTCGGCGAAGATTTCGAGAAAGACGATGATTTTTGACCATCCCAAAAAAAAATCTCTTCACTGGGCCACTGGGGGTACCCCAAGGGATCAGGATTTACCTCCGTAGCTAATCATGGCTCCTAATATGGTTGGTTTATATTATTGTGTTTTTACTTTCACATTGACAATATCGCTCTGGTGAATGGAGTCAGCCTCTTGGATGTTGGAAGGGGTGATGGCTTGTCAGCATTGCAGTGCCCATGAACCAATTTTCGAATGTTTCTCAGGGAACACCCCGTGCGAAAGCTTCGAATGTTTGTGGGTATATATCCCTGTGGATTCATGAATCAATCAAAGAAAACAACATTTACCCTCTGGTAAACATACCAAAAACTATGGAAAATCACCATTTTTAATAGGTAAATCAACTATTTCTATGGCCATTTTCAATAGCTATGTTGAATTACCGGAGGGTATCTATTGATCAGAATCCCTCATTCTGGCACCTCTTCATATCAAAAACCAGTCAAGCCACCTTGCATTCAATGAATTTCCACAGCCGCCAACGCGAGTTGACACAGTGTTCTTCACTAAAGATGCATGTTTTCTTGATCAAAATTCATGAAAACCCGACCAATAGGAAACAATGTCATCCAGGCTAAATCATATTGAAATTTCAATGTGTTTTTGCTGCTGCAGTCTACCATTTTCATCAATTGTTCAATTGTTTCCCCGATTTTTCCTCCATGTTCACTGTTTATTGTGGCCAATTAAATCCAACTAACATAACTCTCCCATTTTTATGCCAGAAATTCGTTCATTTTGTCCAATGATTTCCACGTGGTCTTTCGAAAACCACCACTGAATTGTTGATGGTGAAATATCCCCACTTCCCCATGGAAATCCATTAGATCCCCTGAAATCTCCCACAAAAAAAATGTAGGTTGTGTCCCATGAAAAATCACCATGAAAAAAAGTCCAATCATATCGCATGAAAACATCCATGAAATATCATTTAATATCAAATCACCAATGAAATCAACAATAAATCAGCATGTCCCATGAAAAAACACCATGAAAAATAATTATGATATAAAATGATATAAATCACCATAGCATTAATCACCATTGAACCACCATAAAACCATGAATTCACTTTGAAAACCATGAACAAACACCATAAAATCATATAAAATCACCCTTCAACCACCATAAAACCACCATTTTCATGGCCACGTTGCCACGTTCACCGCGTTTCCCGTTGCCAACGGCGCGCCTTCCGCCCGTCTGCTCCACCAAGCCGTCGAAGGCGCTTTCCTCGCGGCGCTCTGTGGCGATGGCCTCGAATCTCGCGGCTTAAGAATCGTTCTTGATGACATTGGGTTAATATGGTTAATAATGGCTGATAATCTATTGATAATCATATAGATTGGCTAATACCATCTGTATGGTTAACAATATGTCATAATAACCCAATGGTTAACAATAATAATGGCTAATACTATGGGATAATATGGTTAATATCTGGGATAATATTGGTTAATAACGGTTAATATTGGTTAATATGGTTAATATTAATATGGTTCATATTGATCTATAATAACCATTATGGTTAATAACAATGATGATCTAATAGATGATCTATAATATAGATGATCTATGGTTATTAATGATCTAAAACCATCTTAATATATTAACCATAGTTCATACGGTTAATGTAGATGATCTATGGTTATTATGGTTAACCGTATGGATAATATTCTAGATAATCTAGGTTAATATGGATAATCTATGGTTAATAATGGTTAATCAAGATTATCGATAATATTAGCCCATCTTTCAATGGTATTAAACATTTGGTTAATCTTTTGATTAGGATATCTATCGTTAATATTAACAAGATTATCTATATTATTAATAATCTATGACATATTAATATCTGGGATAATATGGTTAATAATGGTTGATATAGATCATCATAATATGGTTAATAATGGTTGATAATCTATTGATTAGGATTGGGATAATACAATCTTTCAATATCAACATTATCAATAATATGGTTAATAATAATGGTTAATAATGGTTAATAATGGTTAATATTGGTTAATAATGGTTGTTATGGTTAACCATATGGATGATATTTATATATAATCTAGGCTAATATGGATAATGTTATTATGGGTTAATATAGATCATCTTATTAATATAGATTGGCTAATACCGCCTGTATGGTTAACAATATGTCATAATAACCCAATGGTTAATAATAATAATGGTTAATAATATGGGAAAATATGGTTAATATCTGGGATAATATTGGTTGATAACGGTTAATATTGGTTAATATGGTTAATATTAATATGCTTCATATTGTTTGACATTGATCAGTATCAATGATTATCAATATCTGGGACAATATGGTTAAGAATATAGTTAATAATGGTTAATAATATGGTTAATAATAATGGTTAATAAGATGATTAATAAAATGGTATTGGGATAATATTAGGCACCATTATCAATATATGGGATAATAATGTATTGGGAAATTGGGCATCATGGTTAATATTATTAATATGTGGGATCATATGGTTAATAGTGTATGGGATAATGTATGAGCATTATCAATAATAATATGGTTAATAATAACGTATGTTATAATAACTAATTAATTATGATTATTATATTCTCCATAATATAAAACAAAAAGCATAATATCAAGATATAATATTATGATCATTATCCATTGATAATAGTTATGGATAATAATGATATATAATATAAGGTTAAAACAATGGGATAATGTATGGGATACTCATTATTAGAGATAATCTCATTAATATATGGGATAATATATGATTGATAATATCATTATGGTTCATAACAATGGGATAATGCATGGGATAATCATTATTAGGGATAATCTTATATTAATATATGGGATCATATGGTTAATGTATGGGATAATGTATGGGATAATGTATGGGCATTCTCAATACCCTGGGAAAATAATGGGATAATAATGTAATGGTTAATAAGTATGGTTAATAATATGGAAATTAATGGCTAATTATTATCTAATACCCTCTGGTTCTTATGGGATAATAATGTAGTTACTGTTTTAACCACATTATATGGGATAATTGTGGTTAATAATTATGATCAATACCCTCGGGTAAACTAGTGGTTAATAATGGTTAATAATGTTGTTTATGGTGATGCATACATATATATATATATAATAAGGTTAAAACAATAATAAACCATCTCCTAAATCACCATAAATGTGATATATACCATTCCCAAATGGGTTGTTTGTTCTTGTTTTAACCACATTATATGGGAAAATATGGATAATAATTATGGATAATAATTATGGTTTGTAAATATGGTTAATAATTGGGTTCATAATTGGCTAATACCATCTGTATGGTTAACAAAAATGGCTATTATGTATGGTAAACAATATGGTTATACAAAATAATAATATATCAAAAAAAATATAATAATTGTTAATAATGGTTAATATTAATATGGTTCATATTGTTTGACATTGATCAACATCAATGATTATCAATATATGGGATAATAATAGTGTTAATAATCTGGTTAATAATATGATTATATCACATATATGATGGTTATCACATTGACCATTCATTATCAATGTTTATCACATATACTGGGCGTTATTGGGCATTATTCAGCTTGAATGGTTAATAATATGATTAATAATATGACAAAAAATATGATTAACTAATAATATGATTAATAATATGGTTAATGATATGATTAAGAATAATGGTTATCACATTGATCATTGTCAATGTTTATCACATATATTGGGCATCATTGAGCATTATTCGGCTTGAATGGACTCCGACGCGTACTCCGACTTCGACTCGTCAGAAGCTTTGACACACAGCAGCTTTTACACACGGACGCATTTACACACCAAAAAAGCTTTTACACACAGACGCGTTGACACACAGACGCTTTTACACGCAGCAGCTTTTGCACACAGAAGCTTTTACACACAGAGGCTTTCCCGGCCTCCGTCCCAAAAGCTCTCCCCAAGCAGAGTGACCGATTTTCGGTGTTTTTTTCCACGCAAACGCTTATACACACAGAAGCTTTTACACATAAAAGCTTTTACACGCACAACAGCTTTTACACGCAGAAGCTTTTACACATAGAGGCTTCTACACACAGAACCGTTGACACACAAAAGCTTTTACACACAGAAGCTTTGACACACAGAACCTTTACACACAGAGGCTTTTACACACAGACGATTACACACAGACGCTTCTACACACAGAACCTTTTGCACACAGAAGCTTGTACACACCGAAGCTTTTACACACAGAGGCTTTTACTCACAGACGCTTTTACACACAGGCGCTTTTACACATAGGCGCTTTTACACACAGAAGCTTTTACACATAGAACCTTTTACACACAGACCAAAGAACCTTAACAGAAAAGCACAGGCTATGGCCGGCGGGCTTGCCGTAGGCACTTAAATATGTTAATCTGGAACCTAATTCGATTTACAAGTGAGCTTTACTGATAAACGATGCCATCTTTACAACCTGAAATTCAGAGACTACATAATTAAGATTGGCTTCAAAAGTTAGGAAACAGCAGGTCTCCGTGCGTCGCAAGCAGGTGCCCACAAAGGAGATTGGGAGATTCATTAATACCCACTAATATGTTCCATTATTGTTGTTGTTGCTGTTGTTGTTTCAATCACCATGTAATTACAGTAACAAGCCCGTAAGCATTATACATTCCAAAAAAAACTATGAACAGGAAAATCCGTATGTCTTTTTTGGTTTATATCTCATCTTTTCGTGGTTATATCACCATGTTTTCCGAGACTTACTGTATATTCCATTACTATTCCATTACTCATTATTATCATGATTCCCATATAGTCACTACATGTCATTTGTATCCTATTATTTTCAGTGTTACATCCCAATATTGTCCCAAGTAATATCCCATTCTTCCCCGTGGTTAAAATACCATTGAATCACCGGTTGACTCCCAATAAATCCCCTGTGAAATCCCTCTCAATCCCTATAAATACCTATGAAATCCCGTTTTCGTTCACCACGTGTTGCCGCTTCAACCACCCTAATGGGCGCGCCCGATGGCTCTCGTAGAGCTCCCCGCTGGCCGCAAGGAATGCCTGATACAGTTGGATCAAGAACACGTTCGTTGATGGTATGTATGTATGTATGTATGTATGTATGTATGTATGCATGGATGTATGTATGTATGTATGTATGTATGTATGTATGTATGTATGTATGTATGTATGTATGTATGTATGTATGTATGTATGTATGTGTATATATATATGTATGTTTGATATGCATATATACTTGTATACGCATACATACACATTCATACTGGATAGTTGCTGATGATTTTACAAATTCAGAGTGATAAATGTCTTGCAAATGTAGTCATAATCACCCAAATGAACGGCAATCATTCTTGCTTTTAACACTGCCCATTTGCTGCTAATCTCTATAAATAAATGTAAAGTACATAATATATATAATGAATATATGACTACTATATATATATATATATGTACATATATATATATATATTCGTACGGACAGTTTCGCCCAAGGATACTCAGGACAGCACCCCTGATATAGAGAAAACAGGGTAGACGGAGGTGAAACTTCGTCATGTTTCCTCTGTGGTTGTCATTGACCTTAGGATTCCTTAGGTGGGAGCAGCCATGTACAACATACAGATTTGTTTTGGGGATGTCAAACGCGGCCAGCTGTTGATTCAAACGTGGCTAAACATAAGAAAGCGAAAAATGGCTGGCTGGATCCCAGGTCGTGTGGCATGTCACTTTGGTATAATGTATCTATAGTTGTATTATATATATTATAATATATATATTATAATATATATATATATTATAATATATATATATAATGTGTATATATATATTGTGTATATATATATTGTATATATATACACATGTGTCACCCGATTGCTACACCAATCAATAGCATTACACCAATCAAAAGGTCCTGGGATGGGTCTACTCTGACGATAAGTTGACGCCTGTGGTCCTCCCCACTTGCTTTCGATTATCTCCTGCACAACGCAACGGTTTCGAGGTTCGACTTGAAAGGCATCTCGTTTTGTAGTTTAATATAGGATATGAATATGGGAAAAAACAAGTTTTAATATAGGATATGAATATGGATAAACCATATTTTCCATCTCGTTTTATATGGTTCAAAATGGGATGAACATGGGATGAGAAAAAGGATATGAATGGATTTACCCTCCATCATGAAACATGGCAAGCTGGAAAATCACCTGTACGTGGAGCTCTTTTGATTGGAAAAAACACGAAAAAATGGAGGATTTTCCAGCATGCCACGTTTGATCTGGTTTGTGGTTTGAACCCCTCTGAAAAATATTAGTCAGTTGGGATGATTATTCCCAATACATGGAAAAATAAAAAATTATCCAAACCACCGACCAGTTGATTACCTGACGGTAATTCAAATATAGGAAGTTTCTTAGAGGTCCTTCTGGACATGAAATTCTTGGAGCAGCCAAAAAAACATGAGGCCTCAGTATTCCCAGACCCCAAGTGGTTCAAGTGTCTGAAAGCATTGGTGACTATTGGTGAAAATGTGGTCGTCCAGTACTTTCAGCAAAGGACAAATCATCCCCAATCAATGATGTTCCCATATTTTACCATTGAAATGCTATCGGGTCGGCTTACCAAAGGGCATATATATATGTATGTATATATATATATGTCTTTGCCATCCCATGCTTTAACGATGATCAGAACTTCACTGAAGATGGCTGAAGAATCCTGTTGGATGAGCCGGAAGTGTCATGTGATTCTTCATTTTTCTGTCTGATATCCCCTGAGATTCATCACGAGAATCGGTGATGTAATAGAGTCGTCGCCTTTTGTTACCATCTAAAAGGCTGATGCTAAGATTCACAGATTCATAATTCATTCTTTGCAGTGATAAACAGCCCGGCAGAAACCCTGATGGAATTGATTCATGTTGGGGTCCCAGTTGGCAGGGCTCACCTGGCAACAGCCATGCTTTTCAATGAAACAGTTGGGTTCTCAGCCATTATGTGAGGGAGTATACTGTATCCATATCTGGTACGTGGTTTTGCTCCTCTGTGATAGTCAAACTATGTTCAATTTCCATTGTTGATTGGCAAAACCATGGCAAGCCCCTGTATCATTAGTTTGGATTGATTGATTGATTGATTGCTTGCTTGATTGATTGATTGATTGATTGGTAAAACCCCCCCCCCCTTGAGCCCCCATATCATACGGTCAACAACCCCCATTATCCAGCAGGGCTGGCTGAGGGCTGGTTAAAGCCTCACTTGACAATCATATTATATCATATGCTATTCTGCTTAACCCACCACTCAGTCATACAATATCTTATTATATAGGATATATATATATATGGGTAAAATATAATATTTCACTAACCTGAATTAAGGCCATTTGGGGATGATTTCCCTTACTAACCATGATTCCAGTGAGGTCGCAGTATATATATATATAGGTTTCTCCGAATTTCAGGATACCCTAAATTACCGTTTTCTACCGTAAATGGCCCACATGTGATTTTTACCTCAGCGAAAAACTACTCCCACCATCTCCCCCACAACCCTGGGCTCCACTAACTTGTGCCATGCATCTGCACGGCTGATGCTTCCAGCCGTGACTTGCAAACATGACCTGTGGTGAACTCCGATTTTTGTAGGGGGATATCATTGTGGTTGAAAAAAACATAGTGGGTCATGGTAAACCATATAACTATAACATACTATAATAACTAAAAGAACGGTGTTATATCAGATGTATAACTATCTGCAATAGCTAAGTTAATGAACATGACTGCAATAACTATGGTTCATTAGGGGGATACAACGAACGAGTTAATGGGGTTACGACCCACCAACAAACACAACTGGGATCAACTGGGGGGCCGCAGCTTGTAAGTGGGAAATCACCCGAGTGCAATCCCCTTAAGATAAATATATATATATATATATGTGCATGCGTATATATATATATATACATATATATAGGTTTTACATGGGCTACGGCTCATGGGCTTATGAACCACTTAGATGCAGCCCCTGGCGTATGGCAGCCAGGAATTCCGTAGCCTAGCCACCGATGATTTATCCCAACTCATTGCCACTCTCATGGGTGATTATCATCTTGGTAATAGCCCTTGGTATTTTCACAATTTACTGTGGAAAAAATAGCTGTGTTTAAAATCTTTAAGAACGGTAAATCAATGAACTTTCTATGACCATGTTCCATAGCTATGTCACATTTTTTTTCAGATGGTATGGGACCCAGGGTGAACGGATTGAACCAACCATTTGATGGTGATGTTTGATTCATTGATGGAATATATATATATATATGTATAGTAATTATAGTTAATATGGATATTGAAGTAAGGGCAAACTAACATGGCGATGGAACATCACAATTAAAAAGAACGGTAAATCCGTTCCCACTAAATGGTCCATGGCTTCCATAACTCTGTGACAAATTTCCAGAGAATAGCGCTGATTCTTGGATGATTTGCTGATCCCCAAAAAAATCAATCAAACTTATTACCTATAGATTCCCCAAATGATGGATTTCCTCTTGGGGAAATAGAAAATCATCTTAAACGAACCCACTGATCTTACACAGAATCTGGGGGTTGCCCATACGATTCCCAACAATATCCTGGAGGAAAGCGTCCCCAAATCCACAAGAACATGGTATATAAACCCTCCAAAACTGTTGCTCTATTGTTGGGTTTATCACATTCATTGATATTGATACTAATATCATCCGAACTAGAATGTATTTTTGGGATTTTGTTGGATGGGTTTAAGGGAAATTTGACATGAAACTGGCGTGTTCTTTTCACAGTAGAAACAAATACAAGAGATTCCTGCAGATTTTCCCTTCATCCAATCACTTCACCAAAATATCACCAAAAAAACGCACGTTTTCAGAACCCTCTGTCGTCCCTTTATACCGGTTGCTTGATTGGATTGTCCAATTCATGGATTGTGGTCATCCCCTATACAGTATATACACATATAACTGTATGTATATAATGTATATATATATATATGTGAGTTTGCATGCATATACATCTATATATATATATATATATACATATAAGTATATATATATACATATGGGAGTATTAAACATCTTATAATGATAATCGATCAGGGCTCCATCGCGGCAGTTCTGTTCCTTCCGAGTCTCCGCACTCTCGATGTAAGTTGGCAGCCCGTGCCACCATGATCGCTGGCCGTAAGGCCTGGTTTAGAAATGCCGACCTCGGTACCTGATTTTTAGCCCATAGGTACATAAGTGATATGTTAATAAGTACCTATGGTACATTGTAAGTACAATAATGGTCCGAATGGTACTTATAATGGTACTATATACAGTACCTGGTATATAAATAAATATTAACATATTTACTTACCCATATACTCCATGGTGCTGGTATATTTACCTACATAACTGGGTGATTTGTATGGCAAATGTTAGTAAATATGCCAGCACCATGGTTCGCATATGGGTTATAAATGGTTATAATACAACATAGGTACTTATGATGCTGATTTACCTTTGAAAAAAATGATGATTTACCCATTGAAGATGATTACCGTAAACAATAGTGGCTTTCCTATGACAAAAAGACATGATTTCCCTCATCCATCCCATGGGAATCCGTCTTGGTGAATCTCATGGGACCCCTTTTTGGACCTGTCATGGCCATCTGACGAATTGTGGTTTCGGTTTCGAATTTCAGTGACGAACCCGGACGGCTTGTCCTACTATTGGTGGTGTCCCCAGTTTGAAATGGCTAAAAAAAACCCATGAACTATAGATTTATCACCTGGTAAATATCGATTAAAACCATAGTTATTGGACAAATCATGGCACCAACTTAGCGATTCACTGGGGAAACTCCTCCAGTATCTATTGCTCCATTTTTTGGGTGTTTCGCCTTGGACCCCAAAAAGTTTCGCCTTCGGTCCATCTCCGGGCCTACCTTCAAATCCATCCCTTGCAGGGAGCTGTACAAAACCTGACATGTCGAGTTGTGACGCACGTCGCCAAGGCGACATGACAGGTATGTTTTTTTATGGTTTTTTAAGCCCAACTAGTTGGCTACATCAACATCCACCATATTCCACCATTTAAGATCCTAGTTAGCTTAGTTATTTTTACCAAATTGACCTCTCCAGGCCAAGACCTGTTGGTTTCTGCCATGGGGCCAGAAAATGGTCATATTTTTTTTTGAATGGGGAAAATGATGTTCTTAACGCTTGCATTTTGAGGTATCCTATTAAGCCTATGTTTGGATAAAGCCAGTCTAAAAAATGGTCAAATCTCTGGCCCAAAACACACGAATCGAGAAAACACATTTTAACTTCAGTACAGTACTAGTTCTATTCGAATTTGCAATGTTGTTACCCCATGGTAAACGTTTACATAACTATGGAAAGATCCACCCATTTTTCATGGGAAAATCCACTATTTTTATGGCCATTTTCAATAGCAAACGGTTAAATTACCAGAGGGTACACATGTTGCAACTGGACACCTTCGATTCGGTCAGATCCAGTCTTTTAAGCTGCCGTCAGATCCAGGGTTGATCCGTTTTCATCCCAAGGGGCGAAGTTTGGTGTCGATGACCGGACTGTTGTTATCCCAAGAATATTGATGTTGTTACTATAACTACTATAAGTAAATATGTTTTTTTAAAAAAAAAGTTAACTATAACTATAACTATATATAACTATAGTGCTATAACTATAACTCCTATCAAGTTAGGATCCCTGGGATGATTTTTGAGGTATTAAGCTAAGCCCTATGAAAATGCGGGGATGAGCATTCCCTTCGGTAACCCATTACCCCATGACATCAGCCAAGTGCAAGGAACAGACGCTCCACCGGCTGCCGACAACTTTGTGAGGAAGTCCTGCGGCAAGCCATTGTAACATCAGTTAGAAAGGTTTCCCAACATCAGTGCTGCATCATCTTCCCTGTTTACATCTGTGTACTACTTTACTACTGTTTACCGGGGATGGGAAGTGAACAATGGCTTCTCAACCAACCGATGATGGAAACTGGATGTTTCCATCCAATAGCTCGGCGGCTAGTGATCCGCATGGATTGCAACCCATGAGTTGCCCCATGATAAGTGGGGATACGACTTGAAATGTAGCTGACTTCACATCCATTGAAACTTCACAAATCATCACAGTACCTGTCAGTTTACACATATTTGTGAAGTGAAGGGAAAACTTGTCTATCCTGGTTTGTTTTTAGTAGGATTTTACTGACATCAATCTTTTTTACCATATATTATATTGCCGGTTCTCCCCTTGATTTGCCTTGATATATTCCCCATTATATCCCGTTCAGTCTACTGTTGACGCTTAACCCCTACATGGACAAACTCAATTTCGCCTTGGCATTTTTTTCGATAGGATTTTTCACCAAAATCTCTCTTTTTGGGGACATTATGTATATATATATATGTATATATATATATATGTATATATATATATATGTATATATATATATGTGTGTGTTTGTTTGTTTTTGTGGGCAATCCTACTCCACCAAGTTATGAATAAATAGTTTGCGATTTTCTGATGTTTCAGAAGTATAGCAAAAGATTTTTCAGAAAATCAGCAGAAAAACATATGTATATATATATAATATCATATATATATATATCATATATATATATATCATATATATATATATATCATATATATATATATCATATATATATATATCATATATATATATATATCATATATATATATCATATATATATATCATATATATATATATCATATATATATATATCATATATATATCATATATTGTTGAACTGGTAACGGGCCTTTAAACCAAATCTTCCACCTTGACCACCTGATCAGAAGTCCTTGATCACAAGGATAGGTAATGGATTCCCTGTCCAAACTTGTTACACTTCTCGATTTAGTGGCGTCCCTGGCCAACACCCATGAAGCGGCGAACCACGCCCTTTTGCACACACCGTGACCCCCTGAGTCTTCCTGAGCCTATATGGATATGCGACAGCACGGCCAAGGCATCGAAGCATGCATGTTTGGAGATGGATGTCTGGAAAAACACACTCGTCAAAATTATGGTTTTTTTTGAAAGATGTAAAGCATCATTCTCCCGAGAATGGACAAGTCATCTTCCTTCAAGTGTGATTCGGCTAGATTCATCCGGCAATTCATATGGCTATTCTCCACAAGGCAGCTTATGAGGATTATTTTAAGGAAACAACTCATTTCTTCAACGATGATATTTCTCGTGCAAGTTCTTTTATTTATCATCAGTACAAAAAACTGTTACCATTGGGAATCAGTTTTCTCTGGTTGCTTGGAGTGCTGGTGTTCGATCCAAGTCCTTTTGGATCGTTGGTGGGCACGCGCTTTGAGGATCTCATCCACGTCATGGATTATGCATTGGCCCTTCTCGAGAAACTTTCGGAGATTTGTGCAGTCCATGTTTTTGGTTAAACAGTCGGCCATCTGTGCAGCAGAATGGACCCATTTCACTACAATCCCTTCTTTGATTCGGTCTTTGATGATTAAAGCTTCTAACATGACCCGATGTTCTTGGCATTGGGGTACATTGGTCTTTTGGATCAAGTCGTACAAACTCTTACAATCAACAACCGCATAAGCTTCAGGAGATTGGGCCAAATATTTCTCCGGATTTTTCCATTCCTCTGATGGTTTCAGAAGCCACGACCAATGGACCCTAAGCCAGGACAAAAGGTCGACCGATCCGCTCAGTGCATAAGTTTCGGATGCTAAGGTGCTTCCAACCACTCTGGCAATCTTTCGGGAATACCACAGAAGTGGACTAATCTCGCTGGCTTGCCATTCACCTATGTGCTTGGATGAGGCTAAGATTAAACATCCTTTTTGCGACTGCGAATTGGCACGATTGGCAAAAGAGGCATCAGAAAAGGATACAAACCTGACATCATGTAGGGGAATACTTTTGATGGTGATTTTTGTATGTTTGTGGATTTTTGCTTCTTGAAGTAAACGGTTGGCATCTCCAAGATCTTTGACTGTGGCACTGTTGATTTTGGCTTGCAACAAACTAAGTTTGGCTGATAAATCTGGTCGTGTATTGGTTGCGGCATATTGCACACTGCCAATGAGGCCTCTCAAAGCCTGTCGTTCGTTTTCTGTCACCTCGGCATCAGGTTCTTGTCGGCGTTTGCGATCTATGTCAATCGCAGGGATGTCTTCTACATATTGTGTTTGGTCAAGTTCTATGGAACCGTCCCATTTTTGTGACAAATGGATCCCCGTGAAGATGAAATCGGTTTGCTTTTTACTTCCAAAAGGATATTTGCGCTCCAGCTGAGCAATAGCGTTTTCAAACACTTCATCACCGGCCCCCAAACCACCATCAACATGAACCCCAACAATTCCATGTATACCACTACCATCCTTTTTTGGGAGTACAAAGGTGCATGGATCAAGAGGGGACATTCTGAATTGGAGGTTGAGTAAGGCATTCTTGAGTTCCTCATACCAAAGAAGTGGTGCATTCACTAAGCCATAGGCGCTCTTTAGGAGTTCACAGCATTCCCAAGGTTGTAGGTTCATCAACGATCTCATTTCCTTTGGGGGTTCCATGCCTAAAATTCGACCATCTTGTCGACTTCCTCGAAGGAAGGCTGTTTGGATGTCGAAGGAACGGATTTTCCACTTTGCGGAGGCAGCAAACTGTAAAATCAATGTCCGAGAGTCTTTTCCCATAGGTGGAGAATCTCTGGCAAGGGCTTCCAACTGAGGATCTTCATAACCCAAAATAACCAAACGAGCTTTAGCCTTTGGTTGTGGATTGGGGTCTTGAGTGGTGGGATCCACAGGCTTCCAAGTCAGTACCCACCGGGAACGGAGCATCTGTTCTTCTGGAATTTGGTTACGAGCTATTCTCCTAACCGTTTCAGTGGATAACCAGGATTGGATCTCTTTATTCTTGGCACCTTGAAAGAGTTTTATTTCTGATGGAGAAAGGTGAGAAAGGTCTCTCTCCTTGATCTCAGCTCTTTGGCGCTTCGCTGCGGATGCTAGAAAGGCGATTTGCTCTGGCACGTCTTGACGCATGCAGGCTTCAAGTTCTTCCACATTAAGGGCAATCTCAATTTCTTGCCCTGCGATGGCAGTCTCGGTGCAGGTATTGATCGCTGGAAGTTCTGATATTTGGTTCTCATATTGGGGTTTTATGTGAAAAATTGTTTGTCCAGTCCATAGATTGGGAAGGCTTTGGTGAGCTTGAATGTTGCCATACCATTGATCTTGGATTTTCCATGAACCTCCATGTACAGCTTCCACATGGGTGACTCGTTGATTGGATAGCCATTCAGGATTTATGGGACACTCCTCTACCAGCATGGGATTAAACAATCGATATCGTGGATTTCGATGCCGTCTAATCAACTGCTGCTTATGGATTGCCCAATCATCTTGGCACGTCATTAAAGCATCGGCACCCTCTGCGTCAGTATCGGGAACAGGGATTTCCCATGGTTGCAGGTTGCTTGTGTCCTCTGGTACCATTGGGCCTTGGCTAGTCTGACTCACAGCAGGTTCTGAGTCTGGTTGGATATCTTCAGCGTCATGGTCTACATTGGAACCTGCTTCAGCAACTGGAGGGGGAGGCTCTATGATATCTGGCATACTCAGGTTTGGATTTTGTGGACTATTTGCTTGATTCTGTGTAGTGACTTCAGGTAAGGGGTTATTGTTAGTGGGGTCAGTAGTATTTGGGTTATGTTGTGATGTGAGGTCTTGATATTGAAACACACCAGTTCCAAGTCTCTGAGGCCCTGCTGTCGGGAATCCTTGATCTGAGCTCGGTAAATTGGCCGGGTCGGCTTCACGGCTGGACAGCGACCTAAGATGTTCAGGCGCACATCGATAAAGACGACTCAGGTGCGACAGCCAGACCACATTAGGGTCCTCCCGCATCAAAACTCTGGCCGGGCCATGCCATGATCCTGGGAGATTGCCTTTGCCATCTCGCCAGTACATGACCCATTGTCCAATTTCAAAAGAGTTTCGGGCTGGTCGAGTTCTCTGCAAGAAGGCTCTGCGTAATTTCAGGTCATGGTCTGATTTCACAAACGCAACTCTGGCGTTCTCACGTAAGCTCAAGTTTCTTTGAAACTGAGAAATTTCACTTGATGCTTCAAGCTCTTCCTGCAAATAGTCAGATGGCCCAAAATCATCGCTGGACACAGTGGCAGGTTGGTGACGGGATATTCCCAACACAAGGATTTCAGGACTGTAGCCTCGACATCTCGAAAGACTATTCTTGGCGGCCGTACATTGGCACAGGGCTTGTTCAAGTTCTTCTCGGCAGGTTATGGGGTGGTTGACTTGGAGCTTATTCAACATGTCTTGTAGTATGGCTCCATGTCGCTCACATTTGCCGAGTTGCCAATGTGCTTCGGTTGGTACTCCAGTGCTTTGAATGTCAAAAGACTGCAGGAACTTGGCAAATTCTTCACTGCAAAACTCCCCGGCACTGTCGGACATCAACTGCTTCGGAGGTCCGGCCCAACTAAACCAGTACGTCTGCATTTGGCTTGCTACTTCCTTGGAAGTTCTGGATTCACAGGTGAAAGCTACTTGAAAATTGGTGCCAGAATCGATCATGTGGTAGAACGTATAGCCTACTCCCTGGGCTGATGTCCATGTGACTGCATCAATGGAAACGAGATCATTGAAGGCTCGGGGCAACGTCAAGTGGCTTGGCCTAGCAATTTTCGGGCGTTGTTGCTCAAAACAAGATGGACAATGAAAGTCTTTGACACCCTCGATTGCCTCGCTCGGCCAACCTTGATCTCGCAGCACGTTCCCTAGGATTTGGGCGTCAGGGTGACCCAAGTTATGGTGCATTCGT